CCAAGGCTTTTCTTTTTCAGCTTGATGAACTGTGTCACATGAAGGAAAACAGTGCGAACCTTTGGAGTAACAGAGATTCCCAAACTCATGTAACTGTTTTTGAAGATGGTGATTTTTTCCTCATAGTTGGGATGTAACGTTTTTCCAAAGCATGTAGAGACAACTTCATGAAAGTCTTTGAATGTCTGAATGAATTGAGATGGCTCAGAAGTGCTCTCCTTTTCAGCCATTTTAGCCAATTTTTCAATTTTCCTCAGAAGCTTCATGCAGTCATTGCCATTGAAGTGCCCTCCATGAAAAGGCTGAATCTTGATGTGCAATGAAGTTGGCCATTTTTGCACTAAGCATTTGAACAGATGGTTGACCACCCCTAGCAGAAGATGAAGCTCCATAGGTGGGATGAACTCCAAAATCAGTGCTTGATCAGGACCAAAGATTAAAGGACTGTGGACAGCATTTTGGAACTCCTTGGATCTTCTTACATCTCCGCCACTACCCACAAAGCTTTGATGTTGTGCTCTTATAGCTCCAAAGGATTGGGGATTCTCACACAGAAGAAGCTTTGAAGACTCAATATCACACCAACAGCAAGGGTGCTTGCTGCTATGAGACTGGATGCCACAAATAATGTTTGCAAGTTTCATATCGCAAGAAATTACTGCAGCTTCTGATGGGATTAGTTCTTGAAGCTTGATGAGTCGAAAAATCTCTTGCACATTCCAATAATTTTCAGGAGTGTCATCAGCAACAGCCACAAGAAATTGCTTTTTCACACTAGTTTTCTTTGAGACTTGTGTTGTGAGTTTGGCAGATTTTTGGACAGCACTGTGGGGATCTAGGTTGTTTTCTTCCTCATCTTCCTTCATGCTTACTTTTAAGAATGACCCTCCTCCATCAATACCTATCTTTGCAAAGCCAGTCTTTGAGGAGCCAATTTCTTCTTCAATCCTGTCTTTCAAGTCCTTAATGCTTTTGCAATGAACCACAACCCTGTTTTCTCCAGAATCCGAAATCTTTAAGCTGCTGACAGTAAAAAAGTCCTGCAAATTTTGTCCAGACTCAGCAAACTTTTTTTGAAAGTTTGGTTCAACTAATCTTGTTGGGCTGATATGATTGATGAACGATCCAAGTTTCCTCATTCTGTTGTTAGACAATCCTGTATTCTGTTGAATTTAAACCATATCCCCTGTTGAAAGTCTTGGAGGAAAAAGCTCTTGAGCAACAACACCACCTAAAAAAACGAAATCTATTAGCATTCTCTAAAAAAGAATGTGGTAAGTACATTTTACCTTTTCTGATTGGACCTATACATTTTACCTTTTCTGATTGGAAGATGCACCCCACTCAATTGACTAAGTCAAATTGTTCCTCCAGGAGATGCTTCCTTGGATGCAACAATGGAAGATGCAACTTGTTCAGCTCCTTTAGGATCTGACAATGCCAGTTGCTTCAAGTTTTCATGGCGTGAACCAATTGTGCAATGATGAGAAAGGCCTCGTGAGAGAACAGACAAACATTTTGTACAATGTTTTTCTGAACTTTTAGGTGGCTGACTGGTTGTTGCAGTTTGGGTGAGTTTCTTTACCTTTGAGCCTCCCAATTTGGCAGATCAAACAATCACAGGTGTTTGAACTTCGAGTTGCCGGTTTTATTTGGATGTCTTCAAACCTGTACAATCTTGGTTTACACGTCTTAGGATCCCCATCTTCAAGCTTTTTCAGTTTAAAACGACATGTTTGACATGAGGCAAGAAGAACTCTGCAGTCATTGAAGCTCAGGTCATTCTTGATGAGGCACTGAATCCTTTGCTTTAAAAAGTCTGTCAGAACTTGGTCTCCTTTCTTCATGCAGATAATGCACACAGATTTTCGACAATACTCATGGGTTTTTGCTAAATTGGGCATTTTTGATGCACATTCTATGAATTTAAAAAAATCACACTGGTGTTTTAAAATACACCAAATACCATCAAATAACACTTTCTTAACCTTTTGATACTTGTTATATTTAGAAAAGTTGTGTAAACTTGCGTCAGAAAAATTTTTCAGTAAAAGTCACAGCGTTTCATTAAGATAAAACTATATAAAGTCAATAAGTCTTGTGGACGGTAATCCCTGATTTCAAAATTACTTGTTATGAGATCCCTATCAAATGTACTAACACCCCTCAAAAGGGTTTTCATAGGAGTTGTTTTTGGTATTAGAGTACAAAATTTTCAAACTGTGAGGCAATATTATCAGCATATGCTAAAAGGTTCAAAAAAATGTCACCTATGCTACATATAATATGCAAATTCTTAATTTTCAAGTTCACTTTTCTTATATATAAAATTGGAACAAGAATGGTGAAAAAAATATACCATTGTTTATATTAAAGCTATCAGAGTTTGCTTTCTGCCATCTCATACATATAGTTTGATTTTTGTACCAAAATGCAATTAAACAGACAAATTCTTGGCTATACCCTGATCAGCTAAACTGATCAGCTGATTATTTAAATAAAGAGGCAGTTAATATTCTCCATATAAAAGATTCCATAAAAAGGCAATCTGGTCCAGCAGTTTTTTTTTTGCTGAAGCAAAGCATTACTAATATCTATAATGTTTACTCCGTCATGTATATCTACCAATGAAGATTGCATTTTCAGTTATATATATATATATATATTATATATATATTTATATATATATATATATATATATATATATATATTATATATATATATATATATTATATATATATATATATATATATATATATATATATATATATATATATATATATATATATATATATATATATATATATATATTTATTCAAAATTTCACGAGAAATCAGATTTTTTACCTGATTGCATTTAGCATGAAACAAATAGTTGTAAAAAATATGTAGTTTTATTTATAAAAATATATATTAACACAGCTCTGTTTTAACTTAATTAATTTTGACTTATTGACATAAAATTAGCATCAGGTTTTTAAAACTTAATGACATAAAAAAAGCATCAGGTTTTTATGATGCCAGTCAAAAAATTTTTTATCTGGTAATGTTAACGCTCAAAAAAATTTAAAAACAATTGAAAATATAATTTGTAAACACAATAATTATTACATTAAACTAATTTACTGATACTTTTTAAAATTTTTTTTCAAAACTTTTTATTTACATGTTTTTATTTATTACCTTATTATTACCTTTTATTTTTGCATAAAATTGATTGCATTAAAATCTTAATTTTTACTTTAGTTACACTCTCAAGTGTAATCAAAGTCTAGTTTTCAAATGTCTTTTAAAGTCTAATTTTCAAATGTCTTTTAGCTTCTGTCTCAAAGCTAAGCAATAGTTCACTTAATTCGTTAGTGCCTGTTACAGTAAATACAATTGTAGTAAGCATTTCCAGTAACAGAAGCTTTACAACTGAATTGTTGTAAAGCTTCATTTTTAGATGAAAAACTTTCAAATAGTTTTTCATCTAAAAATGATATAAACAAATTTCGCCACTCACCCTTCTAGATTTATATCTAAATAAGTTTTAATGAAGCAGTTATAAAATAAAAAAATCTCATTAGCACTTAATATAAATATTTAGAAGACAAAAGTTTTACAATATCCAGGATGAAATCTGCGAACTATGGCGCTTTATTTGAAGTCTATTTTCATATTTGTTGTTAAAAAAAAACTCAGTTGATATTTCTACTGCTCTTTTTCCATGTTATCTTTTTCACAGTCTCACAAAACAATTAAAATTGAGTTCGAAGAAAAAGCAAATGAACTCTTGATGATTTTGAATTTAAAAAATCAAAATTTGCAAGTGTTTTCTTTGCTTAAAAAAAAAATTACTTCAATGGTTCATATATTTTAAGTTAGCTGTCTATACATGGTATGTATTACCATGTCATTTATCACCATCTAACATGGTGATGTAAAGAGATGTTGAAAAGTCGTAAAATTCTTTTTTTGTCCGAAAAAAAAAAAAATTAAAATTATATATTTTTAACATTATTTTTTGATATCTATTAGAATTATTGGGAAAGTGCATGTGTCCCCGTTAAAATAAAAATAGCAAAAAAGTGTGTGGGCCTTTTCGCTCTTTTATTTAATAACAAAAAATGTTTCAATATTATAAATATTTGCATCATTTAAAAGTTAGAGGAGTTATTATAAAAACAACTTACAAGATTGCAATAAGTGTATCTTTAAAAAAGTTTGTAGAACTTTATCTATCAAGTTGCAATGAGGAAATTGAATATTCATATATCACTTTAAACTGTATTTAACACTTTAAAGTATTTGTTCTATTCACTCAATTGAAAGTGGACAAAAACGTAACAAGACTATGCAAGGCAATGGAACAGAACTTACTAATGTATCATAGAGATGTGACGTGTTTTTTAGTTCTTGTTACACCATTATAGAGATGTGACGTGTTTTTTTGGTTCTTGTTTTTTTGTTTTTTTTTGTTGTTTTTTTAGAAAAAACGGCAGGGGTCTGTTTTTTTAGATTCTTTGGGAGATATTTAAAAATTCATTATTTAGGCTACTAAATTAAACTCTAATGGCAGTATTATTAAACATATTTTAATTTCAGATTTATATAGAAAAACTAAGGCTGAATTTGAATAAAATTCTTTTTCTTTTGGTATGTTTAAAGGTAATTATTTTATTGTTAATGTTTAGGTTAACACGGTTATATAGTCCTGTATAAAAAATTATTAGTTAATTTTATCTTCCTCTATTCAATTTTTATTGATTTTATTGTTTTTATTGACACAATAAACACTTCTTATCTAAATATATTATTCTTAAGTACATTTACTTAATTTTATTTAATATTATATGTATATATTATTATTACTATTATCATTATTATTATTATTGTTATTAATTAACTGTAATTATAAAGTTTCGAGTTACAAATAAAAAGGTATATGCAGTTTTAAAAGCTCTTTTTAATAATCAATTATGTTCTTTATTTACTTATATTTAAATTTTAGATATTTTGTTTAACATAGTAAATTTTAATTATAAAAATAAGTAAAGCAGGCAATACAGAGGGGAAAAATAAAACTGTAGTTGCCAATTTATTTGAGAGTTAAATGTTCCTGTTACTTTGACATTATGTCTAAAAACGGAACTCAAATGACTAAGCATATTGAAAAATGTCAAAAATGTCCTGATGAAGTAAAAAGTCTGTATGCAAATAAATCAGGTTATAGTCAAAAACAGCAAGACTCTCCTGCAGATGCTGAACAAAAAACAAAAAATCCACAATCAGATTCTTTTGGAACATCCTTTTTTGAATCAATTTGTAGAAGTAAAATACCAAGTTCTGTGTTTGACAGCATGACAAAAACTGAAAAGGTGTGTATTGTATTTTTATAATTTTAAGATTTATTTGAAGAATTAGCTGACATAGCAACTAGCTTATTAAAAATTTATGATGTATAGATTTTAGATTTGTTTCATGATTGACTGATGTACCAGTATGACATTATCTTTTGCAGGAATTGATTGATACACACCTAGCCAGAGCAATATATGCCAGTGGATCACCACTCCATATAGTAGAATATAATTATTGGAAAATCTTTTTGAACAAGTTATGTCCTGCTTATAAGCTTCGGTAAAGACATGAAGTGTCAAATGTATTATTAGATAATGAATTTTCATGGATATTGCTTGACAATGTTGCTTGACAATTATTTAGTTAATAAACAGATCATATTTGTTTATATGCTGTTTCTTCTTTACAAAAATGAAGCTATCATTAACTTTGTATTGACATTGCCTTCTTCGTCACCATTTTGTGGAAGACATTGCCTACAGGTAAAACCATAATTGTAGTACTGTATACAATGGATTTACTTAACAGACTGGTAGACTTAACAGATTGGTAGACTTTTAAAATATGCATACTATTTAATAATTAACTTTGATATTAAATTTATAACAAACGACACTGAAAACATTTTCAGTAAGCAGAAATAATATATCAGTAAATAGATTTATAATATTTACATAGTACAGTATATATAATATAATATAATATATATAAACTGTTTTGTAGGAGCATTAAGCCATTCTGGTGAATATATGGCAAATGAAATAAAGAAAGTTTTAAAAGAAATAAATCCTAACAAAGTTTTGGGCATTGTGACTGACAATGCTGCAAAGATGAAAAAATGCACGTACTATCAGTACGGACTAGGTAATACAATTAAAAAATATACTGTACATTACAAAAAAAAATTGAGTTATGTAACTAATTTTATTATACATTTATAAAAATAGATTTCATTTAGTAAATTACTATATTCAAAATTTATTACAGTTATCATAAGTTCTTTGTGTTTTATATAAAGGTGGGGATCAACTGTAGCATGCTTAGATAGCATACAGAAAAATAAGCAACCATTAAAAACATTGGCTATTTCTGAAAACAGTGGACTTAATTCAGCAACAAAAAATATTCTTTTATCAGATATTTTTTGGGACAGGGTTGAAGGTTTTTTCAAATTGCTGTCACCAATAGCTGATGCAATAAAGAAAACTGAATCAAATACTCCCATGTTATCTAATATTGTAGAGACTTATCACTTCTTGGAAGATCACATTTTTAAAAACTTAACAAATAGCCCATTTTTAAAAAAAGGAAGAAGCCAAAAAGATCTTCAAGAAAAGAAAAGAATTTTGTTTAACAGAAATTCACTTGGCTGCCAATAAACTAGATCCCAAATTTCAAGGCATAGTCTTGACTGGAGAACAAAAGGTATTTACTACACATAATTCATATATGATTCTTAAAACCAAATACATTTTAGCCTTAAAATTAAAAGTACGTTAAAAGTAAAACTTTTTAAAAATTTTGAATTATTTTAAATACTATTTTCAAATTTAAAAGTTCTATTTCAAGTAATGAAGTAGTTGTAAAATAATTAAAACAAAAATCTTTTTATAGATTGATGCATGTGAGGCAATACCCAACATTGCTGCAAGTATACCTGAAGTAAACAAAGAAATTATGATGTTTGACTTGGTAATTACCAGTCAAAAGGTGGAATATTTTCAAAACCTTTTATTTTGGACTGCAGTTGGAATAACTCAACCCATAAATTGGTGGAAAGGGCTGTGTTCCTTTACTGAACTATCAAAAGTTGCATCTAGCTACCAGTTTCAAGTGCAGCATGTGAGAGAAGTTTCAGCGCTTATTCTAACATTCATAGTGCGAAAAGAAATCGCTTAACGACTGAAAGAGCTGGAAACTAGTTTTCATTTCACAAAATTAAAAACTTGAAAATATTGAAAATACCAGTTAAAATGAAAATGGTACAAGCATAACTACTCCTCAAATTATTAACTTGAGTGTAAATAAAGTTCCTAGCACTTCAATGCCTTGGTCAGAGTCTGAAGCAGTTAATATAGAAAGTGACAGTGACTTTGTTTATGAATTCTAGTCTAGGGAAGAAAGACTTGAAATCAGAAAGCACATCCATTTAGAATATATTTTATAGTTTAAATACATGTTTAAATTGACTTTTTTGCTTAAATATTTATACTTTTTTTTAATTGTGTATATACTACACTACACAGTACTACACTACTTTGTACTAAATTAATAACCAATTAAAACTAATAAAACATTATTATTCAAAAATATTAGACTTTCATGTAAATTAAACAAAGTTACAGCTTTTTTTATAAGGACTTACTGGCAATATAATTTAACATATGTAACAAACAGTGTAAGACCAATTTATTACATAATAAATATAAAGTCTAATATTAAAAAAACATAATAAAGTCTAATATTAAATTAGCATGATATTGTATATTAGTATATTTGAATTATAAATGGTTATTGTCATAGGACAAGTATACTTTCTGTATATGAGTGTAATATTTAGGAAGTACAACAATATTTAAGAAGAAAAAAGATGACAAATAAACATTCTTATACAATATACCTAGATTTATAACTAACTTAATATTAAATCGCATAATAAATATACTTAATAAATAGCTCATTCAAGTTTTTTATCAAAACATTAACTTTAAATTAGTGTTTATACATTATATTTGTGGTTATGATGATCATATATATATATATAAATAAACAGAATAATAAAAAACTTGTTTAAAATGTCAAAAAAACCAAAAAACACCAAAAAAACGCCAAAAAAACAAAAAAAAAAACAGTTTTTTTTGACCCATAAAAACGCAAGAAGAAAAAAACGTGTTCACCCATCCCAACAATTACAACACCCCTATCTAAAAATTTTTTACTATTTTTCTCTACTCCCCTACTATTTGGTTATTAAACCTGAGGTAACAAAAGAAGTTATTATGATGTGTTGTCAATTATTATGATGTAAACTGATGTATTGTCAGGTCATACAACAACCCATATGGCAATTGATTTTTGGAAATGTTTGATAAATGATTTTCATGGTTTTTTCTCCCCCAAAAAACTGATTTTTTAAATTTTATTTAATATTTTTTTATCTATAATGTATATTTTAGGTATATTACATATTCTATACTTTTGTAAATATTTTTTATTACTGTATATATTTTGATAAACAACTTTATCAATTTAATTAAAAACCATCATAGATTTGCAAATCAAAGAAATGTAAAATTATGACTTATACATTCAAAAAATATGGAGGCAATACTTATGATGGCTTAAATGATAATTATTCTAAATATGATATTATTAATAATTATGATAACAATAATGGTCACGATAATCAATGTAGGAATTATAGTTAGGTTTCCTTCCTTAAATTTTATGATCATAACATGATGGTAATGATCTATCTAATGATTCTATGATGATGGTAATGATCATAATAATTTAGGATGATGATTATGAATGATAATTTGACTTGAAAATATTAAAAATTATAAATAAATTTTGATAAGATTTGTTATGATTTGGCACAACATGCTAATTAAATTTGTGACATAATCAACAATATTATATTGGTTGTATATAAGACCCATTTGTGCTGTTTTATGGTCCTTAAGTTTAAGCTCATCTGGGAAATATAAAATATTGGTTAAAATTTTCAAGATATATATATATATATATATATATATATATATATATATATATATATATATACATATATATATATACATATACATATACATATATATATACATATATATATATATATATATATATATATATATATATATATATATATATATATATATATATATATATATATATATATATATATACACATATATATATATACATGCATATATATATACATATATATATATATACATATACATATATATATACATATATATATACATATATATATATATATATATATATATATATATATATATATATATATGTATATATATATATATATATATATATATATATATATATATATATATATATATATATATATATATATATATATATATATATATATATATATACATATACGCTCATGCACACAATATAAAATTGATAAACTAATAGTATAATAATAGTCAATAATTTGTTATTTGTTGCCAAGAGTATAAATAGTTATAGTTCATAATATTTTTAAAATTTAAATTTCAAGTTAAAATATTTTCACAGCCTCATCAAAGCAGGTTGTGCTGAATTGCTTGTTACCAGTAGCAAGGTGATCTGATCTGCCTATATACTGTTAATTTTGTTATTTATTTTTACAGTCAGTTATATAAAAAGTTTTAACCCAAAAATGTCTGAAGACCTTCCTTATAATGCTGAATATGCAAAATCTGGAAGAGCAGGATGTAAAAGCTGCAAATGTAATATTGGAAAAGATTCTCTAAGAATTGCAAAAATGGTTCAGGTGAAAATATGGGTTGATAATGTTTTATAGATTAATAAAATATTAATTATATTATAGGTTAAAAGGTTTAGCTAATTAAAAAATGTTTTTGTAGACCTTATTTTGTGTTTTTATAATTTTTATTTTGCTTAACTATGTAAGATTAATTTTTTTTTTTAGTCTCCCCACTTTGATGGAAAGGTATGAATTCTGTTATGAAGTATAGCACAATTTAAATGTATTATAATTTTTTGTAGTAATAATCTTCATTGTAGTTCTGCAAAAAGTTTAACTTACGATGAATAAAAGTTATGGTATATTTTGAGAGAGTTTTGATTAAAAGAAATCACTATCAATAGCTTCATGTTTGTTATTTGTTTCAAATAAGTTTTTTATTTTGAATTGTCACCATAATTACAAAATTAAAAAAAAAATTGCTATTGACCATAGCAACATGAGCCACAGCAAATTCAACATTGAACTAAGAAAACAATGTGAATGCAAAATTGAACTAAGATAAGAAAGAAAACAATGTGAATTTAATATTGAATTGAGGCAAGAAAAAAAACGTGAGTTCAACATTGATTGAAGGTAAGAAAGGAAACAATCTGATAGAAGTTCATAATAACTTACAAAGGAGAAGCTTATAGTTTTTTACTTTAACAATTTAACGTGCCTTGAAAAGATAAACAAAAAATCATTGTTTTTAAAATTTTTTTTATTATGTAAAAATATTTAGGACTTTAAAAAAATGCTTATAATTCAATTGACAGCAACAAATTTACATCTTAAAGCTTTTCTTACATTTTATTTTAAATTAATTACTTGTTAACAAATATGTTCAAATACTAAATTGTGCTTTCTATTCTAAATAATTTTCCTTTAAACTATAAAATTCAATTTGAACATGTTTGGTCTCCATCAGAAATATTTTACTGCAATAGCATAAGTATTACTATTTTAATAAAGATAATTTCAGTTTTTGAAAAATTTAAATTATAATTCTTTTAAAATTTGTTTTGTGATGAAACTATAAAGTTTTAAAAATTGAATAGTATGCATTAGCATATTTTCTATATATATGAAAATATATTAATATATACTATAATTTCTCTACCTCTACAATCTCTTATTTGTCCCTGTACGAAATACTTTTATCATATTTAGGCTGGTTCTTGTGATGCTCTTTCTCTTCTAGACAAGGTCCAAAAACACTTTGTAAACCTAGTTGGACCCGGTCTATCTACCATTCTTTTACTGTATCTGTTCCTGCATGCTCCCAAAACTTTTATTTGTCTAACTTTTCTCACTGCACTTCAAAACTTTAGAACTCTCTTCCATCTTCATGTTTTCATGTTGACTCATACAACCTTCAACTTTTCAAGTCTTCTGTCAACCGTTTCCTTGCTCTGTAACTCTATTCTTTTTTTCTAGTAACTCCTAACCTAATAAAGATTGCTTGCAGGGTTGTTGGGAGTGAATCAGAATAAAAAAAAAAATTTGTATTTTTTTACAACTTTTTTTTGCAGTCACTTATTTCAGGCTTTTTTTTTTAGTAAAGTATTCTGGTTTTTTTCACATTCCTGCCATTTTGATACTTATAGCATTTTCACAATATATTTATTTTTTATATTTATCCATTATGTCACCAAATCTTTTAAGATGTGTTAAACTCATAGTTAATCCAAATATTTCCAATTGTAAATGGATCTAAAACAAATTTGAATTTTCATTCAAATTTTTTTTAGATCCATTTACAATTGTTGCAAACCCACATAATTGTTGCATGCAAAAAGTATTCGCAAATTGAGGGCTTTTTATATTTCAAATAAGGATTATTTACAAGCATTTATTTGTATGTTACACTTTTTGTTGCATAGATATTAACAAAGATAAATACTTTGTAATTAAATGATTTTATTTTGACTAAAGTTAAAAAAAAAAATTCTTCTGTAAAACAAATATTTTTCTTTTTTTTTTCAGTATTCTGCATCAGTAAAGTATCAATGATTAACAAACAAGATGACATGACCACATCAAACACGACTACAATATTAAAGTGCTTTGTAAGATAAAATGTATTGCACAACCCAGTTAACAAAAATGTCTGTGGTCATTTTCAAACTACATGCAAATTTATACTAAAATATAGAAATTCAAAAACAAAACTAATTTTGAATATTTTTCTAAATTCAAGTCCGTTGCAAAAAAAAAAAAAAAGTGGAAAAAAGTTAATGGTTCTGTTGGACTTTAGGTACTAATATGGATTTTTCTATTTTTTATTTTTTGGTTAGCAAAATCTGGGTGAGGGCGAAATCCGGATAACAGGGCAATTGTAATAAAAATCTTATTTTGAATTATTTTGATTTATATTATCAGATTTAATTTAATATGGACAAGACAATAAAACTGTCCTAGATGCACTAACAGATAGTAAGTTCAATTTTTTTTATTCATAATAGTTATTATTATTAAATAATCATAATTGGAATCAATCAAACCAAAAGTACAAAAAAGAAAAAAGATAAGAATAGAAAAACAAATATTTTACAACATTGAATTATAAAAATGAAAAATAATAGAATGTGAACCATTGGCTGAAATTATATATTTAAAAAGTAAAGAAAATTATCATGTTTATTTAGTGTAAAATTTAGATATTATTATAAAAAATTATTATAATACTTTATAACAAATAAGTTAAACTTCAAGTCTTCTAATGTAAAACTTAATGATGCAAATTATTTGTCGTCAGCCAAAGTTTTTGATAATAATTTAAATAGTTTAGTTCAAGCCAAATCTTTAAAAAATATATATTTCGTATATAAGTCACATTCAGTATGAAACTTGTAAAAAAATATATTGCTATTCACATTCAAAATGATTGTGTAAAGATTTTTTTAGAAAAATCTCAGTTCTTTTAAGCTTTTACTTTTTACAACTTTATTTTACCTTTTTTCACTTCCTTGCATTTATTCACCTCATTCAACTAATTTGTTAACTGAAAAATTATCTAGAATTTTAATAAAAATTTTTTTTCAGGATCTTTACAAATTTAAAAACTTGTCTATACTTAAAGAATTGTCTTTAAAAAAAAAAGGTCAAATCTATAAAGGTAAAAAGGTAAAAAAGGTAAAATCTAAAAAGTCTATTGTAATAACAAAACCCTATAGCCTATAGTTAGAGACATTTTTTCTTCTCTGGGTTTTTTATCTCTCTCAAACAATTCATTATTTGAGATTATTAGTTCAAAAACACAAACATTGATAAACAAGATCATCTACATGGTAAACATGGTTACATCAATTTCTTGCATTAAAAAAATCGTGAAAAAAATAAAAGATTAAGATTAGCAACTGAGAGAAGTGTTGAGGTTACTGAGAGAAGTCTTAAGGTAACCGAGAAAAGTCTTGAGGTAACTGAGAGAAGTCTTAAGGTAATCGAGAGAAGTCTTGAGGTAACTGAGAGAAATCTTGAGGTAACTGAGAGAAGTCTTGAGTTAAAATGTAATAACTAAATAAATAACAAGGTTTAATAAATTATCCATATGGTTAAATCCAAAAGAATGCATAGTAGATGTAATTTTAGGCAGAGAAACGAAAGGCACCTAAGGGTCATTACAAAGAAACTCATGAAAGTCATTTCCCAATCATTTTTAATGTAGTGGTAAAAAGGTTTTAGTGAGGTCATAGCAGGATTCAAACCATCTAATGGAGATAACAATAGGGTGTGTTATACTAATTTTTTCCGTCATCTGATGATAACTCTTAGTTAAGAGACTCTGAGCAGCAACAAATGGAGAGGCATTATTGAAAAATTGTTAAATGACATAACTACTCTGAAAATTAATCCTTTGAAAAAAATTTATGCCGGAAATCCTCTTATTACTCTAAAGGATAAATAATCAAAAATTTATCCTCTGATCAGTTTTATGGGTATAAATTAGTCTCCATTAGAATAAGTATGCCATTAGAAGTTGAAAAATACCTGCAGACTTAGCTTTACTTGAAATTGGGCCAATTAATCATCACAGACATTTCAGAGTTTGGGTCTCACAACATTGTTGGAAGACGAGAATTTAAAAAACCTTAAATTGATAGAGTTTGTTATGGGAGTTTGCATCCCTTAATGGTTTAAAATTAAAGTCAAAAACAGGTTTACTGAAGGACCGAGACACATTCTATACCAGCTTAGCCTTCTCAAACATTAATCAAGGGAAGTAGTTGCTATTGTTATGCCAACAGTTGGACATTCAGTGTGGTATGTCTTCTCTGAACTCTTTAGACAAACCATGCTCTGCTCAGAGAATGTAGAGGAAAGAAAGAACAGTATAGAATTAGTTGTGAAATTCAGATGCCCCAGTGATGAAAAACTTCAAACTGGTGATAAAAATGTGAGATATAGAATAACTCCAGAAATAAAATCTGATGCAACAACACTTATACAGCTAACTAAATGATAGATAAATGATTATTATAAAACTATTATAAAAGTTTTAATAATAATAAAAAAAGATTAAAAAAAAGTTTAAGCTCCCAAAGTTCCACAAATTTAAATGAATCCTTAATCATGCCTCCTGGTATCTTAATCATTTCGGATTTTTTAATCTCAGCTTTTAAATTAAAAAATTTATGTTTTAACAAAAAATTTGTTTTATGGCTTGATAATGCCATGGCTATGATAATGCCAAAAGAACTAAAATAAAATAACATTTTTTTTAGTTAAAATCGATACTGTAAAAAATAGAAGGAATAATGTATATTTGTTTTAAAGAAGAATTTTTTTTTGCAACTTTAGTCAAAGTAAAGTCATTTAATTACAAAGTATTTATCTTTGTTAATATGCAACAAAAAGTGTAGCATACAAATAAATGCTTGTTACTTCTTTTGGAATCAGTTTCTCTGAGATATGCCAAAAGAACTAACAAGAAAACCATACATGCATAACAATGAACTGTAGTGTTCTGACAGGGTATAATTCTAGATGGAATCAGTCCCTATTAAAGATACCACAGAGCTTAGGAAATTTTACTACCTTTGATTTAAGAATAATTAAACTGAGTTTTTGAGCTTTAACCTTTAACCTTGTTTTTTTTCCCCTGTATTTACAGGTGGGAATTCAAAATCAAAACTTTTTATTTACAAAGAGAGCGCTCTCCCACTACACCACTATCATGTTTTATTATTTGGAGGTTTGAGATTTGGATATAGAAATATAAGACATAAGATTTGGATATAGAAAGATAAGACATAAGATTTGGATATTAAAATATAACATATGAGTTGCAAAGTTGTTACCAAAGAAGCACAAGCAATAGAATAGAGTAAAATAAAGTAAATAATAATAATAGTAATAAAGTAATAAATGAAAATCAAGAAAGAAGAAAGTAAAATCAAGAATAATATCTGAAAATTGTTGTTGATAGAAAACCATGAAACACAGGTTTACATCTTTTCTTGTTTATTTGGTGAAGAAAGAGGCAAGGTTGTGTACCAAAAAATCATTACTTTTGGATCTTTGCAGCCTAATATAAATAATATCTGCCCATGATGAATTTTTATGAGACACTATCTTATCCTTTACTCAACCAAGAGTCTGAAGACAGGGGATATTTTAAATTAGAGTTAACTTCTCTCAGCTTTTTTCTAAAATAGCTAGTCCTACAAGGCAATTGTAAGTTGTTGTCCTTAATTTTATGATACCAGTCTCAGTTTTATGATACCAGTCTCAGTTTTATTCATTTATTTTTGAACCAACATAAGTATGATTACTTTATAAAATTTCATTTAGGAAATATATAGGAATATAAGAATGAAAAAAAACTTAAATTAATCCAATCAAATATTACTTAAATTAATCCAATCAAGTTTTAATTAAATAATTCCAATCAAATTTTACTTAAATTAATCTAATCAAATTTTATTATAGATCCCTCAATGGTATCATTATAGCTGTTTTTTCAAAAAGTTCAAACCTCTAAATGTGTCTGATATAAAAAACTTTGACAGTTTGCGATGGGATGATCAAGAAAAGTTAAGAGAACAAATTGGCTGTCCACAAAAAAAAGATGTAGTTGATGGTCCATCTAATAGCACTGTAAATAAAGATTTTTGTATTGAATATGCTAAATCTGGACGAGCAAAATGCAGAAAATGTGAAGAGAAAATTGAAAAGGTTTTTTTATCATTATTAGTTTTATCATTATCATTACGATAACTATAAATTTAAAAAAAAAAATTTTTGTAATAGGATATTATAAGAATAGCAAAAATCATGGAATCAGAAGAATCAAAGTTTAAAGGTCTAATTCCATTTTGGTATCATGTAAAATGTTTTGCTTTGTCTAAAAGTGAACTTGAAGCACAGAATCTTACTTCTAATGAGATTGATGGTAAGAATATAATTAGATTTTTGTTCATTTGTAATAAATAATAATATTTATATATATATATATATATATTGCTATTAGCAGTGTGCCAATCATATTGCGATAATTTTATCACACGGATATTTTAAACACGTGACTATTCCGTTCTGTTTATGTTTTTATTGGTTTCTATCAGAGTAGTAATTATACATATATATATATATATATATATATATATATATATATATATATATATATATATATATATATATATATATATATATATATATATATATATATATAATATATATATATATATATATATATATATATATATATATATATATATATATATATATATATATATATATATATATATATATATATATATATATATATATATATATATATATATATATATATATATATATATATATATATATATATATATATATATATATATATATATATATATATATATATATATATATATATATATAAACATAAACAGAACGGAATAGTCACGTGTTTAAAATATCCGTGTGATAAAATTATCGCAATATGATATATATTATATATATATATATATATAAAATTATCGCAATATGATATATATATATATATATATATATATATATATATATATATATATATATATATATATATATATATATATATATATATATATATATATATATATATATATATATATAAATTAAAATGTGTTATTTATCAAATCAAATCAAATATATTCTGAGTATAGTTGTTATATATATATATATATATTTTTAAACATCTTTGCGTTCAACAAGGCTGCAAGCAACCACTAATTAGTGTTGGAAGTTACTGGAAGAGAAAAGATGAAAATTGTAGAGCAAGATAACGATTGACAGACGATTTAAAAGATTGCAAATTATATGAATCAGGAAAGCAAGATGAAGGAAGCGAGTTCCAAAGAACTGATGTTCGAGGAAAAAAACTAGACAATAAAGAGTTTTTGGAGCACTTAGGAACAGTAACAGAAAAAAGATGAGACTTAATTGAATGACGAGTAACATGAGAATAAATTTTTGTAGATGGCACAAGAGATGCTAGCTCTTTAAAGCAGTGCCCATTATAGTATTTGTATAAAAGAAAAAGAGAAGCAACATAAGGACGATGTGACAGAGGTTGAAGGTTGGCTGCAAGAGCAGGTCCAACTATGTTTACAATGCGTTTTTGCACCTTGTCTAAAAGAGAAAGGGCATCATTAGAAGATTTGCCCCAGATATGGCAACAGTATTCCATGCAAGGCCGGATTTGAGATTTATAGAGATAGAGAATAGAATCCAGAATAAGAAAGTGTCGAGCTCGATAAAGAGACGCAACTTTAGCAGATGCTAATTTTGCAACAGATTTGATATAAGGTTTCCAAGAAAGATCAGAAGTAAGAGTTAATCCTAGAAGATAAAGGGTAGGAGACTCATCGAGTACATTACCGTTCATAAATATAGGAAGGTCTAAATTATTGCGATAACGATTGGCTTATGGAGAAGACCAGCATGCCAAACTTTATCAAACGCTTTATAAATGTCAAGAGCGATGGCCTTAAACTCTCCACCTTTATCTAATGTGCGATAAAACCTATCGGTTATTAATGTGTGTTTGTTAATTAAAGATTCAAAAACCTTGCTTATGATAGGAAGAAGACTAATGGGATGGTAGTTAGACGAATCGGATCGCTCTCCAGAGTTTTTAAAAATAGGGATAACAGATGCTGTTTTCCAGCAGGCTGGAAAACAAGACTCTGATAAGTACTTGTTAAATAGTTTTGAAAGGATAGACATCAGCTCCGGAGAACACTTCTGCAAGACTATAACAGGAATGTTATTTGGGCCGCAAGCTGTAGGAATGTTATTTGGGTCGCAAGCAGTCTAAGCAGGTAATCACTTTAGATACAGAAGCTGGAGTGATACGGATGTCGAGCAATGGATCAACCTGTTTGACGGCTATATCAGGTAGAACGCAATTAGTGGAATCAAGAGATGATATTGAAGAAAATTTCTTGGCAAACAATTCAGCTTTGTCTTTAGGTGAGGTGACAGTCTGAACCTGAGTAAAGGATTTCATGCCAGCCTGAATCCACAAAGTTATGTAAAAAGCACATTTGTTAACAGGAAGACGAAAGATTTCTACCCAGGGACCATCTTGAAGAAAATCACGGAAAGAGTCTTAGTCAGCTTTAAGGTAGTTGTAAGATATACGATGATAGGGGGAATTCTGATGATAAAGAAGAATAAGATAATAGTTTTAGAGAGACCAAACCATGATCAGAAGCATCTAAGGGTGAGTGTGGAGAAACTGAGCTAAACGAAAGCACATAAAAGAGTAGTCTGTGGATTCAAACCTAGTTTCTTGACAAATGGGTGAATTCTTACGAATGTACATGCCCAGGCCAAGCATGTGACTATTGGAGTCTTTACAAATTAGAGGAAGATAACCATCAAAATTAAGATTTTTTTGGGCTCACCTTATCATCGCACCACCTACTACTACCCTAAAGCTGACTGGGATTCTTTTTGTGATTTTCTTCATGATGGTCCTTTGGCTGATGTTTTTTCTCTCTCAGCTGATAAATGCGTCTCCTAAGTAACCTCCTGGATTCAGGCTGGATTGGAAGCTTTTATTTCTTCTCGTTGGTTTCAAGTCAAGCCTCATTCTACTCCATGGTTTTCTCCTTCTTGTGCGGCTCCTATATCCAATCGTAATCATTTTTTTCATCTTTTTCAAAAGAACAACTCTCTTGAGAACAAACAGCTATTTATTATTGCAAGAAATTGATGTAAAAAGGTGCTTTCTGATGGTAAACTCCATTATTCTCAGTTCACTAAATCTCGCATCTTATCACAGAAGTTAGGCTCTAAAGACTTTTGGAAAATCTTCAACAGCATTATTAACAAGGATAGATCTAACATTCCATCTCTCATTCATGGGACTGATCTTATTACCTCTCCCAAGGATAAGGCAGAACTATTTCCAAAGAACTTTTCTTCTAATTCCACTCTTGAATCTTATGGACATTCTCTTCCTTCCATTCCAGTCAAACAGGTTGACCCATTGTTGGACATTCAAATCACTCCGGCTTCTGTTGCTAATGTCATATCTCAATTAAACTCGTCTACAGCTTGTGGTCCAGAAAACATTCCTGTCACAGTCTTGCAGAATTGTTCTCCAGAACTTTCTTCAATTCTATCTAAACTATTTAACAAGTGTTTGACTGAGTCTTGTTCTCCTGCTTATTGGAAAATGGCATCTGTGGTTCCAATATTCAAAAACTCTGAAGAAAATTCTGACCCCTCCAATTATCGTCCCATCAGTCTTCTTTCTGTTATTAGCAAGGTCTTTGAGTCTTTGATCAACAAATTCCTCACATCTCATCTTGAGTCAAATAAACTACTGTCAGACAATCAATACGGTTTTTGATCCTCTCGCTCTACGGCCGACTTGCTAACTGCTGTAACTGAAAGATTTTATTGTGCATTAGATGGAGGCGGTGAGGCTAGGGCTATTGCTCTCGACATATCTAAAGCTTTCGACAAAGTTTAGCATGCTGGTCTTCTCCATAACCTTGCTTCATATGGTGTTTCTGGGAAAGTTTTTGAGATTATCAAATCATTTCTTTCTAACCGGTTTATTAAAGTCATCCTTGAAGGCCAACACTCTTCTTTATTTCCAGTAACTTCTGGGGTTCCCCAAGGTTCCATCCTGGGCCCTGTTTTGTTTCTTATCTACATAAACGATCTTCCTGACAACCTTTCATCTAAAGTAGCTCTTTTTGCTGATGACTCAACTTTATACTCCTGTCTTGACAAAAAGTCTTCTCTTTTCGATTGCCTAGAACAAGCAGCTGATCTAGAATCCGATCTCACTTCAGTAATAGATTAGGGTTCACAGTGACTTGTAAATTTCAACTCTAACAAAACCCAGTTGTTTACTGCAAACAACTACCGTAATATGGTCAACATTCCTATATTAATGAATGGCAATCCTCTTACTGAGTCCTCCTCTTTACATCTTCTTGGATTATCGCTTACTACTGACCTTTCATGGAAACCATATATGCAATCGATTGCTAAATTAGCTTCTGCTAAGGTTGCTTCTCTTTATCGTGCTTGCCATTTTTTTTACTTCTGATTCCATTCTCTACCTCTACAAATCTCTTATTCGTCCCTGTATGGAATACTGTTGTCATATTTGGGCTGGTTCTTCTAACGATTCACTTTCTCTTCTTGACAAGGTCCAAAAACGTATTGTAAATGTTGTTGGACCTGGACTATCTGCTAAGCTTGAGCCTCTTTCCCATCGTCGTAAAGTTGCATCTCTATCTCTTTTCTACAAATACTATCATGGTCACTGCTCAAAGGAGTTATCATCTCTAGTTCCATCAACTAAAATTTATTCTTGTTTTACTCGTCATTCAGCTAAGTCTCATTCGTTTACTGTATCAGTCCCTGCATGCTCTAAAAACTTTTATTCATCTAGTTTTTTTCCCCGCACTTCAATTCTTTGGAACTCTCTCCCATCTTCATATTTTCCTGACTCATACAACCTTCAACTTTTCAAGTTTTCTGTCAACCGTTTCCTTGCTCTATAACTCTGTTCTTTTTTTTTTCTAGTAACTCCCAACTTAATAGTGGTTGCTTGCAGCCTTGTTGGGAGTGAATGCAAATAAAAAAAAAAAAAAAAAAAAAAAGATCACAAGATGAGACACCAGAACTCAAATTAGACTCACAAAGAGCAAGTAGGTCTGGTGAACTTTGCAAGAGATAAGACTCAACAGAAGAAAAGTTACTTCGAAGACCACAAATATTGGTGAATGATAGATTTAGCGAACTTGGTGATGACTGTGGTTTTTTGTGTTTTATAGTTTTTGCTACTTTATTCATTTTTAAATTTGTTAAAGAACTTGACTCAAAACATAGATAGTACTCAGTACACTGTTTTATAGCTCAAGCAATTGCCTCATTTCCATTAATAAACCCTAAGCTGTAACAAAGGGCTCCAATGTGGCCTTGGCAATGCACACCAAAAGTACAAACAAGGACATCATCCATGCGCAACATGGCACTGTTAGTACTCAGATATTTTTCAGCTGTTGATGGAATTGGCCTCTCTGTGAGCTACCACAGAGTTTTGGAAACCTGACTACCAGCCAGCCTCAGAACCATAAAACTGAGTTTTAGAGCTGTACCCTCATTTGGAGATAATAGAATGAGTTGCCTAGTCATAAAAACAGAGACAAGGAAAACCCATGCATCGAGTCAAAAAGATCCAGCGTTCAACATCCTAAACTGGAAACAATTTATAAAAAATACATCTGCGCCAGCCTAATAGATGAAGAAGGGGTGCGAGGCTGGTCTTAAGAGGTAAACAGATAGAATCTGTTTACCTCTTAAGTCTTTGCCTAGGAGGCCTTCTACAAGACAGCAGCCGGACGCATTTAACATCTGCCCAAGATGAGTATTTTTATCGTGACACCATCTCTAGCTTTTACTCAACCAAGAGCCCCAAGGCAGGGGGTGTTTTATGTCAGAGTTTGCGTCTCCTAGCCTTCGCCTTAAAAGGCATATCCTACAAGGCAGCAGGGCATGAAGCAGATTGTACTTACCTTAAAAATGTCTTACTTTATTTTTAATTTAACCATAAATAATTTTTGGAATTTTTTAATAAATTAAAAAATACTTATATTATTACAAAAAAAACAAAAAAACACAATATTTAAAAAAAAAATTTTCCTGAAAAAAACAAAAAAATTAAGCCTAAACATTTTTGTATTCAAATAGTTAATGTCTATATATAAATATATAATATAATATACTATATAGACAACGATTGAAATACAAAACACAAGCATTGAAAAATGTACTATAATTTTAAATTTAATTTAAATACTAGCAAATCTGTTTATTTAACTTTTACTAAAGGTTAATAAATTTCAAAGTGCTTTAAAGTGCCTTTTAAATTAAAGAGATAATTACGGTAAACTTAATGATAAAAAAAAATATTATATTTTTTTAATCATTAAGTATAGTTTTAAGAGTCAACAATCTTCAAAAAAAAGGACAATTTTAATTTTATTGGTACGCATTTATTATTTAGTTCTAATAAAAGAAATTTTATTAACATTTTTTTTTTTATATTTTCTTTAATATGAGCATAGCATTTCTTGGCACTTTATTTAAAGGGAATCCCTTTAACGTATTTAAAACATTTATCAGCTACTAAAATTAAAATTACTAAAATATAGTTATTAAATGTCATTAAAATACTTTTTAATGACATTTAGTAAATATATTTTTTTATTAGAAACAATTTCATATAAATATTTACAAATAGTGTAGCATTTGTAAATATTTAAAATTATTTTTTTACCAAAACATGCTTAATTTTGGATAAAAAACAAGGTAAACATAAACAAAGTAATGATTAAAAATCATTGCTGGAGCACCAGTTTTAACTAGGGAGGGAGAACAGGGCTGTCTTAAGAACACCCCCCCCCCTTCATTATCTACCCCCCTTCCAAAAAAAAAAAAAAAGATATCCATAATTAAACTCTGGGTTCGTCATTGTCTCTACGCTCATATGGCCCTAAGTACAAACAAACTATATGGCCCTTGATAAAAGACTTGATAGCCTTATAAAAAATGTTGTCTATTAACAAACCTGGGTTGAGAAGAAACTTATTGAACTTCGCATTTAGTACTTTAGTAACAAACATATACAATAACTTATAGAGAAGCATTTCCTCTAGGGTTGTAAACAATCTAAGATACCAGCGAAAAAAATTTACTTTAGACCATCAAATACCGTTTTCTGATTATAACTTGCCGCAGCAGCGCTTTCTGAGAATCAAAAAATTTAATCACCTGATTGAGAAACATTACTTAAAATTTTATAGTTTTCAAATAAAGTGGGACGACCCAAGGTTTAAGGAGACCCTAGGTATACAAACTATATATATGTATATTAATATATAGTTATATTTTGTATTAAAAACCATTTTTGTTCTATTTCACTCATAAAATTATAAGAAACTTTATTAAAAACAAATCTTTAAAAATGTTGCCGAGGTAATGCTGAGGTAAATGGTACTTTTTGAGTCCTCTGCATTTAATTTCTGAGGCTAAAAAAGCTAAACTTCACACGCTGTATATATATATATATATATATATATATATATATATATTTGTATATATATATATATGTGTATATATATATATATATATTTGTATGTATGTATGCATATTTTTAAAAATAATCATACATAGGCTGGGGAGAATTATCTGAAGAAGATCAGGAAAAAGTGGGACTTGAAATAAAATTTAAAAAGCATGGCAAATTAAAGATAAAAAAAGGAAACAAAATAAATATAAAAGATGAATGCAAAGATGAGGAAAAAAAAGAAATTAAAGATGAAAAAGTGGAAAAATTTAAGGTTTGACTAGTGTTGAAATTTTTTTTTTATATATACCTGTTAAATCAAATTAAATCATTTTAAATCTATCATTAAACATTGAAAAAGAACACATAGAGCTGTTTCTTATAGATTTTAAAAATTTATATTTAAATTTATAGAATTTGAACAAATATATTTTGTTGTTACAATGTGTTTTGTTTTAGTTGCAAAACAAAGAGTATTGGGATATGAGAGATAAGCTACAAAAAAATGTTCCAAATAATGTGTTGAGAAAATTATTAGATGCAAATAATTATAATACCACTGGAGGAGAAAATACTGTAGAAAATTTATTAATTACTTTTTAATTAATTTTATTAATAATTAAAACTGTTTAACCATTAAAATTTTTTTAAGACTTTTTTTTTTTTTAATTATCAAACTATTTTGTTAAATTTTGCTTTAATTTAATATAGTTATTGGAACGTTGTGCAGATGGCATTTGTTTTGGTGCACTTTTGACCTGTTCTGAATGTAAAACAGGAAATTTAGTTTACAGGTTAATTTTTATTTTATTTTAGGAATAGTTTTAGGAGTATTAAAGCATTTATAATTTATAAATGAATTTATAATTATTTATAATTAAAACAAATTAATTATTAAGGCTAAAGTTATATCATAGTTTTTACTGATTTTTCTTTATTTTTTCTGATGTTCCCTGAAAAATGTTGAAAACGAGGAAAAAATAGTGATATTTAAAGTTTTTATGGAAAAATCTGGGAAGTTTTGATAAAGAAAAAAAAAAATCAGCATAAACTTTTTTAATGTGGACTTTTTTAAATTTATTTTGATGTTTTAAATGAATAGGTATTTTTCTGTTTTTCATTAAAAAGTGACAATCATTCAGAATTGTAACATCATCAAAGTTAAATAGACATAACTATTAAATAAAAGTTCATATTTTTATATTAATTTTTCATATAATTTCATATTATGACATATTTTCATATTAATTTTTCATATAATTTCATATTATGACATATTTTCATATTAATTTTTCATATATTCATATTAGAAATATTTTCATATTAATTTTTTATATAGTTTCATGTTGTGACATATTCTCATATTGATTTTTCATATAATTTCATATTATGACATATTTTCATATTAATTTTTCATATAATTTCATATTGTGATACATTTTCAGTAATTTTAGCGGAATAATTTTAAACTGGCTTCTAAAGTTCTGTTTAGTTATGGTTTTTAAAGAATTCATTTTTTGGAAAGGATTTAAGGAACCCAACGGTGTTTAAACAACTTATGTAGCAGTTTCAATGATGCCCACTGGTTAGCTCAAAGTATTTTTAGATAATCATATTATAGCACAAAAATTGTGTGTTAATGTTGATAAATTACATTACACTGTTAATTATAGGATCATAGATTACTTTAATAATATTTAATTGACAAGTGCTATAGATTAATATTAAATCAAAATTGAAATGAAAATTCACAAATCTGAGATAATATGTAATTTTATATATAGAAATCTATATAATTTTTAACGATTTTTTGAATCAACCGATTTTGAAAAGTTCCAAGTATGAGAAACAACATGAACATATTTGTCAAAAATGGTTCTAGTATTCATGGCTGAACCAAATGATCGTTTAAAGTTTGCTTAAGTTCTCATAATTGAGAACTTTAAACTTTCTAAAGTAATTAGTATTGTCAGTCACTCGCAGTTTTGTTACATAAAACTGTGAGTTTTATGTAATATGGTATTCTTTTTATACAGATGTTTTTTTTATTTACATTTATTATCATGGAATATAAGGACCTCACTGCAAATTTTATTTGATAAAATTTATACAATGACACAGTGTACAAACAAACACAAAGTAGCACACAATGATTATTTATTGATTACTGGATTTAAAATACTTCCACATTTTGTACAACAAGATGGATGAAAAAAAAAGTTGTAGGTTTTTATCTAGCCAAGCTTTTCGAAGCTAAAAATATTGCAATAAAAATGCAGCTAGTAAAGTTGCAATAAAGTTGCAGCTAGAAAAATTGTAATAGAATTGCATGCTTGAAAAATTGCAGATTAAAATAGAAAAATTGTTGTTGTAATAGTAATTAATGATAAACTGCTGACATCAGCAATTTTTTTTGTTGCTGAAATCTTTCAGCCTTATTCAATTTATATCTCAACAGCCTCATATCTCATAGCTTTATATTACACTAATATCATGCTCAACAGCCTTTATTTTGACATAAAATAATTAATTTCTTATCTTTTGTGGTTGTTTGTAAAACTTAAATTGAAAGTCAAAAACTTTTTCGATTCTATTTTCATTTTTTACTTTAGTTCTATAATTGATGATCTTAAAAAAAGTAAATATTATTATGCAAGTATAATTAACTACATTATAACACAGCAAATATATAACAATTAGATATGATCAAGTAAATAAAAAAAAAATTAATAAAAAGTTTGTAGTAATTATACCCTAAATCTCTATTTTTTAAAATATTTTCAAAACTATTATTTTTTAAAGATTAGAATAGTATTTACTTTCTTTCATTTTTTCTACAAAAAAAAGAACTTCTCAATATTTCTAAATTGTTATGCAATTTTAAAGGAATGTTTTTTGAATTTTATTTGAAGCCATATAAACAATCATCAAAATTACATATCGATTGTAAAGTTAGTTCTCTTAATGTTGTCTCTTAAATCTCTTACTTTTGATCCTCTATAAATCTCTTTTTCGTTCTTGTATAGAACAGTATTTTTCATTTTGATTCTTTTAATAAGGCTTTCTCTGCTTTATACAAGTTTCAAAAATGCATTCTAAATGTTTTTAGATCTGCTCTTACTCTAGCTGCTAAACTAGAAGGTCATAAGATTGCATCATCTCTTTTCTATAAATATGTGGTTGCTGCCTAATTATTACTTGTTCCATTCACCAAATCCCAATCTTGCACACACCATTCTTTATTTTCTATTTACTCTCACTTATTGTTACTGTCTTTTTGGGGGTAAATTTGTTCATTAAAAAAAAAAAGGTTAAATTTTAACAAAGATAACAAAGGATAATCATAAAAAAAATGTTAATTTTTACCCCAGTATAATATATATTAAATGCAATATGTTTATACAGTCAAATGTTACAGTAAATAATTAATTTTTTATGTTTTTTCATTAGAACAGAAGGTTATCAGTGTACTGGGCATGTCAGTGGCTGGACAAGTTGCACCTTTTTGACACAAACGCCAAAAAGAAAAAAATGGCACATTCCTAAGGAATTGCTATTAGAAAATGACTTTTTGTAAGTAGATATATATATATATATATATTATAGATAAGTTTTTTCCGGAAATTCCTGGAATTCCGGAAATTCACTTAAAACACCTTTAATTTTTCCAGAAATTTCCGGATGTTTTTTGATATTAATTTGAAAAAATAATTAATATATTTTTACATACGTTACAAAATTTTACATACGACAACTTTTGCATTTAAACAAATATGTTTTCTATAATTAAAATTTTCACGAGATCAATTTTCGTAAGAATTTTTTTTCTTTTTGTAAAAAGTTTTCAATTTAAATTTTTGTAAAAAGTTTTTATTTTAAAAGGTTTTAGAATAATCTTAATCTGCGATCAATTTTTAATAAAATAATTTTCCAGGATTTTCCGGGATTATCATAGAAAAATAAAACAAATACATATATTTAAAAGCTAATAATGGAAAAAGAAATCATGAAAAAAGTAAATAGCAAATATTTTGTAGGATGTCCATTTGCTGCAATTAGGCTGTGTATGTGCCGTGGCATACTCAAAATACACTTTTTAACTGTTGTTTGCACGTTTTACTGTGGTTCCACATATAAAATAGCTTTTCAATCAACTTCTGCTTTGTTGCTATTGTGCTTTTGGTCATTTTTCGCATGAGCAACTCAAGAACATTCTTAATTGGATTTAAATCCAGAGAATTTCCAGGCCAATCCAAGACATAATTTTTTTTTCTTTCAAATACTTTGAAATGGTGTTAGCATTGTGACATTTTTATGCATGATGTCCCATCATGTATAAAAATGTATTTTTTTCAGTTGGGAACTTTTGTGCCGACTGTTATATTAGTCTATTATTAAGAATTTCTGGATTCAGTGTACTGGGCATGTCATTATCATTAAACTGGGCATGTCTTGTCTTATTATCCAATTTATTATATGCAGCCTTACAGTGTCTTAAAAATTAATTACCAACCACAAAAAGACAGATGTAGGATGATAATACGGTTTGAAAAGATACCAAAATCAAGTTAAACTTTACAATTAAACATTTTTATTTAGCATTACTTTTTTCCAGCTATCCTCTGTAAAAAATTTTGAAATTTTTTTGCCCAGTTTAGACATTTCTTCACCATAATGGGTTTTGACTTTGGTTTACAAGCTGGCCAGCATAAAGTTAAACCAAATTCTTTAAGAAGTCTCTAGACTGAACATTGGGAAATATTGATTTCCTCTTCATTGACAATTTTGGTCAATAAGTTGACAGGGTGTTTTCTTTGTTGTAGAAAAATATCTGTAATTTTTCTGTCAGTTTTGGGTGTTGTTAATCTTTTTTTTCCATAAGCGCTTTTATGAGCAGGTTGTAAAGGTATGTCAAAATCAAGTTTTTGCTTCACTCTTTTTACTGTGCTTTGAGAAATGTTGATCTCACCTTTCTTATATTGTGACATGCTCATATTTTTTAATAACCCACAAATATTACCTAGTTTTTGTGGATAAATATCTAATGCTCTTCTCCCATTGCTAAAAAAACGAAGATAATATTTGATACGATTGTGTACTTATCTATAAAAAAAATAATTTTATATATTTTTGTTTTAAAAAGGTATTAAGATATGCCTTTGTGAATAATAAAATATACAATGTTAGTAACAAAATAATCTTTACAACTAGGTTTTAATTATTATTTTTAATTATTGAAATTGTTGTTGTTCCAATTATTGGAATACCAACAGGATGTTGGTATTCCAATTATTAGAACAACAAAAACACACTAATAATTAGAACAGCAAAAAAACCAAGTGTTTTTGTATTAGATAGAACACATTTACGGGGTGGGAGCAGGTTTTTCTCAAAAAAGTTGTTTTAAGAGTCACCCTAATATATATATATATATATATATATATATATATATATATATATATATATATATATATATATATATATATATATATATATATATACACACACACACAGTGGTTTCCGAAGACCTTTATGGGGATTAAGACCTTTCTGGGATGCTGAAAATGCTAAATAGAATTTGCACAATATTGCTTTTTATACAACTATAAAAGAGATTAAAGAACAATTAGTGTATTTAAACATTAAAAAACAATTAGTGTATTTGAGGAAGAATCATTATTATTCTTTGCTGTAATTAACTTTAAAGTTCATTTCAAATTGCTTTCTGGCAAATGCATTACATTTTCTTACACTGATTTCTTATCAGGCTTTTATTCACAACTTAACTGTAGAAATGAATGTAAAATGTAGAAATAGCTAAATGTGTAAATGAAGAATAGCTTTGCGTAACATAATGTTGTTATACCACTGTAAAAATTATGTTACAACTGTTAATTCTGACCTTTTAAGTCAATTGGAGGAAAACATAAGTATTTTGATTGTAAATTTAACCATTTTTGTTTAGCCATTTAAAAATAGGCCAAACTTGGTTTTGTGGGAGTGTATGCTAATAATATGCACAACAACAACTGAAGATTTTTGACATTTTAACAAAATTTTAAAAATTGCAAAACACTTACACAATACCCAACAAGCAAATTAATGTTAACTGGGTACATTGTATCAAAGTTGATTGCTTTGAATATTTAAAAATACTTGACTCATTTTTAGTTCATATAGGTCCTCAATTGAAGAAAATTAATTAAAAACTCTGAAAATAGTTTTTTTTTTTCAAGTTAAAACCTAAATTAGTTTATGAACCTTTTAAGTTATTTGAAAAATGGCATAAAAGGTTATTTTTCAAAAAACCTGCAGATAATACAAAATAAAATTTTGAATTATCTGCAGGTTTTTTATCTGGTCTGCAAACTTGTACAATATGGTGTACAAACTTGTACATAGATCATTTTTGAGTCTTTATATGTGTGCGTGTGTATATTTTCATTAAAAAAAATATGTTTCTTTATTAAAATAATATTTGCCTATTGTTTATGATTAATTAATAATAGTAAAAACAGTTATATGTAAGTAATATAAATTCAAAAAAAAAAAAAAAAAGAGAAAAATAAATGCCTAATGTTTTTGTTTTGTTTTTAGTTTTTGTTTATATTTTATTTGTTTTCTGTTTTAGGTCAACAATAAAGCCAAAGGTTGAAGAAAGAACTTTTATGACAACAACTAAAATGTTAACTCAATTTAAAAATTTTCTCCTTTAATATTAGTTTAAAAAAACCAAATGATAAAACTAGTTATGTTAGCATGGTGACATAATATTGTTTATTGTTTATTTGTTTTTTAGGAATACTGACATAAAAGAATCTCAAAAGCGTCCTTTAGAAAACAGAAAAGTCATAGTTATTGGAAAACTTAAAGAATCAAAGGTAAGTTTGTTACTTGAAGTTTAAATAAAGTTTACAATATGTTATGTAAATCAAGTTTACCGTATATCAAATCCATTGCAAAATTAGCATCTGCTAAGGTTACATCTCTTTATTGTGATTGGGGCGGATCTTCTAATGATGCTCTTTCTCTTTTAGACTAGGTGCAAAAATGCATTGTAAACATAGTTGGACCTGCTCTTGCAGCCAACCTCCAACCACTATCACATCGTCGTTGCTTGTGTTGTGACATGTTGCTTCTCTTTCTCTTTTCTACAAATACTATAATGGGCACTGCTCTACTAAAATTCGTTCTTGTGTTTTTCGTCTCATCTTTTTCTGTTCCTAAGTGTTTCAAAAACTCTTATTTGTATAGGTTTTTTCCTCAAACATTGATTTAATACTACAACCTTTTTTTTTTTATTAAATTTTTAAATTCAGATATTTTTTTTTTGCAAAGAAAATAGAAGTTTTATATATATATATATATATATATATATATATATATATATATATATATATATATATATATATATATATATATATATATAATATATATATATGCTTATATTTATATATGTATATATATTTTATACATATTTTCTATGGGTATTAGTTTCGTTGCATTCATCCAATAAAAGTATGATTTTTTTCTTGTGAGAATATTTCTGTATAAAATTTAAAAATTAAAAAAAAAAAAAACTTAATCAGAAAACTCTGTCAGAGAACTCGCATTATTTACAAATGTGTTGCATCCTCCCCAAACATACGTAAAAAAGTATACATTGGTTTAACAGGTCATGTGGAAAATTTGATGTGCAAGCCACAAACAGTCATTCAAGAACAAAAGGTAGCAAATGCAACTATGCTTTCAAAATACTTATGGGGTACAAAAGTATTAGTGCTGTTTTTAAAAAATTAAAAACAACACTAACTTTAACATGGTCATCAAAAAGTGCTCCACATACGATGGTCATCAAAAAGTGCTCCACATACGATGGTCATCAAAAAGTGCTCCACATACTTTAACGATACGATAACACCACAAAAAAATGTCTATTTTGCTTATACAAAAAACTTTTTATATAGAAATATTCTCACAAAAAAAAAAAACCAGCCCTCAGAATTAGGGTTGGCATTTGACAATTCCAACCTAACTGCTGACCCAAAGTGTTTGAGGTCTGCAAAAAATTGCCAACCTCATTTCAATGTTTAATGGCAAGACTTTTGTATCAAATATTTTTTGCCTCATTTTTCCTATTTTGGAGGGTTGAACTTAACTCTGTGTGTAAGTGTATATATATATAAACACCCATACACACACTTTTAAGTTATATACTTAAAAAAATGTTCTTTTAAAAAAACTAAATCAAAGCAATATTGGTGATACTAATATATATATATATATATTTTACCTAATAGGGTGTTATTGAGAATAAAATACAGTTGTTAGGTGGAACTCTTTCAGCTGCTGTTAGTAAATCTTGTTACTGTTGTATAAGTACACAAGGTAAGATATAGTTTTTATATTTTATTAAATTTTTAAAGTAATTAATAATAATTGCATATTATTAAACTTAATATAGATTTGATTATAAAATATTCAAAAGTTTTATTATAATTTAAATACTATGATTGGATTGCAAAAAGTAACTTATAACTGATAATTCTTTTATGCATGAAGGTCAAATCATAATTAAAAATTTAATTAATAGTCAAATCATAATTAAAAATCAAAATAAGGTTTTCAGTTTGTTCAGACTAGTTGTCTGAAAACAAAAATAGTTTGAAAATGCAAAAGCATTTATTGTATGTAAGAAGCAAAGTTTTTATTACTCAAAATTTCTTCTTTAATTCTGATGTTTGATTTCACTGTAAATTAAAAAGCAAGTCATGTAATATAACTTATGAATACCAATTACTTAATAATATTAAATAGCATTATTTACTAATATCATATAACTTTACTTATTTGTCTGTGAATTCAAAAATATGTTTATACCAAGCAAAGTTGTTTAGGTATATGTTATATATTTGCTTACATAAGTAATTTAGATTCATAATTTTCATTTAAAATATTAATAATTTTAATATTTTTAATAAAAATTAAAAAAAAAATTATTATTTTGGATTTTACTATATAGAAAATGACATTTTTAACTAAAAATCAAAAAAGTGCGTTTTTACAAGATTTTTTTTAGTTATAATTATTTTTTTCTGTTTTTATTTAAACCAAATTATATAAATTACTTGTTAAAAATTATATAAATTCTTAAATTTTTGAACTGCTTAACTGGAAAATTGTGAATTAGATAGAGAAGTAAAGAAAATGTTCTTGACATTATAAAAGACTTTTGATAAAATCTGCCATGCTGGCCTTCTCTATGAACTTGCTTTGTATAGTATTTTATATAAAAAAAGTTTTTAAAATTTTTGAATCACGCATAACTATCTCCTTTATTTCATCACTATCTCCTTTATTTCAAGTAATTTTTGCGGTACTACAAAATTGCGGTACTATAAAATTTTTGAATCACGCATAACGATCTCCTTTATTTCATCACTATCTCCTTTATTTCAAGTAATTTTTGAGGTACTACAAAATTGCAACTTAATTCAATAGCTGAATGACGATTCGCGCAACTCAATGTTTAATGAGCTAAAAACTATAGATTTTGGCAGACAAGTTAACATTTAAATAATTTTTTGGAACCTCAATATATGTTTTGTATGTTAGAAAAAAGGTTTTTATGCAGTTTTGTGAGCTTTTTACACAACATCATTGAAAAATGAAACAAACGCTGTGTTTGTTTCATTTTTCAATGATGTTGTGTAAAAATTAACTCTTTAAAAAAACACGTTAATCCTTTTAAATCATAAGGCAGGAAAAATTAATTTACTTTATTTAGAACCAAAATTGAAAATTTCTTTAAAATAAAATTGATTTAAGTTTGCTTCATGTGTTCAATGTTTTATTTGTTTGCTTTTTATGTTCTATATTTTATTGGTTCGTTTTCTTACTTTCTCTTTATATCTTCTTTATATCTTCTATCATTTTTTTTTCACAAATTGTAAAAATCAAAATATTCAAACAAAAATTATTTTATTAAAGTATTTATTATTAAATAAATTAATTGTCTTGGTTTTATTTAGTCATGAAAAATGTTTCAACAAAAAAATTAACTTGCTTGTTCAGCCTGATTTAGCAAAAAACTACTTGCTTGTTCAGCTAGATTTAGCATAAATTTTATATAGATTTTTATTTTAAAATATTGATATATAAATGAGGATTGATAATTTAAAACAACAGTTTTTTTAAATTAATGTTTAAAAAAATAGTTTAATTTTTTCAAAATTTTTTATTTATAATTCAATAAAACAAAAAATTAATTTTATTTTGTTGTAATTTTTGATTTTTTCAAAATTTAAGATGAAATTGAAAAATCTACTAAAAAAATGCAAACAGTAAAAACATACAACATTCCTGTTGTAACGGAAAATTTTCTTGATGCTGTTCAAAATGGTGAAATAGATGCTCTTATGAAGAATTCTATTGCGCCTTGGGGAACAAATGTAAGTGAATTTTATTGTAAATAAGTAAAAATAATAAAGTAAACAGATAGTAAGTATTAAAATTCAAAATTTTTGAATTCTATTTTAAATTTCAATCTCTTATTCAGATAAGTTTTTGACTTGTGAGAACTTGAGAAATTGTGACATGAGAACTTTTATTACTTACCTTCAATCTATGAGTTGTGTCACTGACGCTGATTCCATAAATTGTGTTTCTTACCTTGGGCTTGTGCTTAGTTTCTCCTTGTTCTCTATTAAGTAGATTAGGCTATGCTATGATTATCTTGACTAGTTTTATCTTCTACATCAGAGATAACAGATCATATTTAAAAATCTTCTTCTACATCAGATATCACACATCATATTCAAAGATCTTCTTCTACATTAGACACCTTATCACACTTTTTACAATTACCTTAGAACTGATTGGTGGGTTCCTTTTATGATTTTTCTTTTAATGGATTATGCATTGGTGTCTTTTGACTGCTTAAATTTGTCTCTTATGCAGTTACCTGGATTAAGACAAAATGGAAGCTTTTGACATTCTAAATCTTTGGTTTTAAGTCAAGTTTCACATGATCTTTTTGTCAGATGCTGTTTTTAATTGTAATGATTTCTTCAAACTTTTTCACCAAAAAAAACTCTCACAAAAACTCTTTGACAATCAATCTGGAAAAGTTTTTAAAATTATTAAATCATTTCTTTTTTTAATTCCAGTAATCTCTTGGGTACCACAAGATTTCATCCTTGGTTCCATATATTTTCATTTCTTATCTGTACTGATGATGATTTCTCATTTAAATCATTCTAATTCTCTAAAGTAATCTCTAATTGCTGATAATCTCCGTACTCCAGATAAAACTTTGATTGCTGAGATCAGGCAGCCAATCTTGTCTGTTATCTCCCTTCTGTGGCAATTAGGATTACATTATTCAATTAATTGTTAAATCACTTGAGAATAAGTTAAAAATGTTTAAATGTACAATAATTATCTTTGCTTTAGAGGGAAATGTTGGATGACAAGATGGACAATTTTAAGAGTATGAAAAGAAAAACTAGTTCATCTATTGGTAATTGAAAATTTTGTTTAAATTGTTTTTGTATTTAATTTTAATTGCCTTATATATAAATATTAGTTGAAATATAAATTGCAATCTTACAATATACAAGTTGTAACTGCAAATGCAATAAAAAAATAAAATGACTTTAATTAATCCATTTAAGTGCTTTAAAATGTTTTTATATAAGTTTTAATAATATTAGTGAAATTAAAAAAAGAATAACAAGATTAAATAAAAAATATGCTTAGTGGGATTAAAAAAATTTTGGTTAGCAAGTTTAAACAAGATTTGTGAAATTAAAAAAAAATGTAATTAAACTAAATATGATTACTGAGATTAAAAAAAATATGAACAGTTAGATTAAAAAAAAGATAAGTGAGGTTAGAAAATATGATTAGTGAGATTAAAAATGGTATAACTGAGATTAAAAAATATTAATGAGATTAAAAAAGTATGATTAGTGAGATTTAAAAAAATGTTAGTGAGATTAAAAAGTATATGATTAGTGAAATTTAAAATATATTAGTATAAAGTTATAGGAACTAAAACATTCCATTATGTGTTTTTTTTTCTGTAAGCTTATTTTTGCCTTGCCAAAATTTATGAGCTGTAGTTGCAGTTTCAGGGTTTCATATTTTCTACTAACTTGTAGTTGCAGTTTCAGGGTTTCATATTTTCTACTAACTTGTAGTTGCAGTTTCAGGGTTTCATATTTTCTACTAACTTGTAGTTGCAGTTTCAGGGTTTCATATTTTCTACTAACTTGTAGTTGCAGTTTCAGGGTTTCATATTTTCTACTAACTTGTAGTTGCAGTTTCAGGGTTTCATATTTTCTACTAACTTGTAGTTGCAGTTTCAGGGTTTCATATTTTCTACTAACTTGTAGTTGCAGTTTCAGGGTTTCATATTTTCTACTAACTTGTAGTTGCAGTTTCAGGGTTTCATATTTTCTACTAACTTGTAGTTGCAGTTTCAGGGTTTCATATTTTCTACTAACTTGTAGTTGCAGTTTCAGGGTTTCATATTTTCTACTAACTTGTAGTTGCAGTTTTTTCATATTTTCTACTAACTTGTAGTTGCAGTTTCAGGGTTTCATATTTTCTACTAACTTGTAGTTGCAGTTTTTTCATATTTTCTACTAACTTAGAGTATAAGTAGTTTGTAGTCACAATTTTCACTTTTGTCTTGATTATCTCTGCTTATAGGTCTATAATATTGATTGTAAAGGCCAAAGATTTTGACTTTGCATAAAATTGCTAATACCATAGGCATCTCAGATGAACAAGTACTCCATATTTTATAATCTCCTAAACTCAGGCAGGCATAAAAACCTTTATTCTTTTTCTCGGTTTCAAGTCAAGCCTCATTCTACGCCATGATTTTTGAAGTATTTTTTTGATCTTTTTTACAATAACAGCTCTCTTGAGAAACGTTTTTTTTATTGTTGCAAAAAATCGATACAAAAAGGTATTGTCTGACACTAAGGTCCATTATTCTCAAGTTTCTAAATCTAGTAAATTATCTTAGAAATCAGGTTCTAGATAAAATATTTAATTAAAAAGGAAATAAAGACAAGTCTAACATCTCTCATACATGGGTCTGATCTGTTTACCTCTTCCAAGGATAAGCCAGAACTATTTGCAAAGAACCTTCCCCTTTAATTAGCAAGTTTCCTCTTTTTCAAGCGCCACAGCTGCTTTAACAGCAGCCGTGGCACAGTCACAGCAGCCGTGGCGCAGTGGTAGCGCACTTGCTTCAGAAACGTAAGATCTGTGGTTCAAACCCCACCTCTGGGCAAGTTTTGCGACATCGGTTGGGAAGGACGCGCGAATTTCCCATTAAATGCTCTTCCGCGGTGCTCTGTGATAAGACCGTAAGGACTTTTTGGGGCACCTTAATCAACTTAAAAAAAAAAAAAAAAAAAAATTCCTCTCTTGATTCTAATGATGACACTCCTGTTATCCCATAGAAACAATTTATTGTTAGATATCAAAATTATTCCTGTTTCTGTTACTTAAGTTATTTCCCACTCAACTCGTCTACAGCTTGTGGTCTAAACAAAATTCCTTCCACAGTCTAACAAAAGTATTTTTGATACTACTCTCTTTAATACTTAATTTTCTCTCTATTATTAGTTAGGTCTTTCAGTATAAATCAACAATCTTCTGTTATCTATTCTCAAGTCTAACAACAACACTCTGACTGACAATGCCACAAGTTGAGCCATTTAATTGCAATGGCTATTGCTCCTGCTTATCAAAAGTTTTTGATAAAGTCTGCAATATTATTCTTCTCCATAGCCTTGCTGCAAATGGTTTTTCTGTGAAAGTTTTAAGATTGTTAAATCATTCCTTTCAGACTGCAGTAATTAAGTTGTTCTCAATGAACAACACTTTACTTCGTCTTCAGAAACCTCTAGTGTATTACCAGATTCCATCCTTGGTCTCATGTTGTTCCCCATCCTTCTTCCTAATTTTTTTATGATATCTGATAATCTTACCTCTAAAGTAGTAGTGCCTGTTTTAATATCTATTTAATATCTAAATATGATATCTGATAATCTTACCTTTAAAGTAGTATTGCCTGTAATCAATGATTTTTTGATTAATTAAAGCACGAAGTTGATCTTTAATCATATTTCTTTTCTGTGACAGCTTAGGTATGCATTGGATGGTAATTAGGTAGTAAGTTTTCTTATTAGTTCTTAAATAAAATGTTTTAAACTGTTTCTTCTTTTGTTGCTTTCTCTGTTTTAAACAAAGTTCAAAAATGCATTGTAAATGTTTTTAGATCTGCTCTAAACTCTAAGAGTTACTGTCCCATAATTATAAGGTTACATCTCTTTCTCTTTTCTACAAATACATGATTGCTGCTTTGTTCAGTTATCATTACTTCTTTTACAAATCAAAACTCAATAAAGAGTCTGCTGTAGCTGTTCCTGTAACTTTGTAATTTTAACTCAAAAATGCTCAAAAATGCAAAATGTTCAAATATTTATTTTAATATAAAATCTTAAGAATTATTTAGACATCTACTTTGTATTATTTAAACATCTACTTTGCTCAAAACTTATTTTGACCTGGTTTGTTAGTTATTTTTATTTGTTTGTTTTTTACAATTTTTATTTGAGGTTTCACCCTAAAGACAGGGATGATGTAGATGTACCTAGTTTAAAGAAAATATTTGCAATGTTAGCGAAGCTTTCAAAACAAAGTAACTTAAAAATTTGTTTTAACTTTTCATTCATTCTTTCATTCTCATTCTTTTTATTCATTGTTTTAACTTTCATTCATTTTCATTCTTTTCTCAATAATTGCTTTGATCCACGAGACAATAAAAACTTATAAAAATGTTTTAGACTTATAAAATATTTATAGAATTGTAAATAAGTGTACAAAATAATCAGTGTACTTATTTACTGCAAAATCTGTTAACTACTTATACCTAACTTTAAAAAGAATTTTTCTCCTGTAATTCTTGTAAATAGTTCAGATTTAAAAATAAGTTCAGACATTACAAGAGTTAAATTTCAAGTCTTTTCAACTTCACAAATAAGATGATTGTTGGAAACAAAGATGTTGCAAAAAATAAGTTTAATCTCACAAATAAGACAAAGGATTTGAAGTTGTACGCTCTAGAAGAATTTAAAAAAAAAGTTGCTGGTAACAATTATTTGTCTGCATGTTTTTTACTTGTTAAGTTTTAAATTTATTTACTTCTAAATTTATTTACTTCTTCAAATCTAAAATTTTACTTCTTATTAGGCATTAGTAAAATTTAGTTAGAGTTTCAGTAATGAAAAACTCAAAAAAGGATATCTTCTTTCAAAAATAACTTGAAGAAAAACTTTTTTAAAATTAGCAACAAAAGTTTATTGTAATTTACATACTTGAATACTGTAGCTTACATACCTGGATACTGTAGTTTACATACCTGAACATTGAAGTTTACATATCTGAACACTGTAGTTTACATACCTGAAAAAAGTGCATAAAACTATCAAAGTCTAAATAAATATTTATGTGCTTGCTAGACGATAAATAATTTTAAAAATTAAACTTCCTTTTTTTTAATCTTTTTTTTTATTTGAAAATAATGATTATATTTTGTGTAAATGTTACAAGGTATATATATATATATATATATATATATATATATATATATATATATATATATATATATATATATATATATATATATATATATATATATATATATATATATATATATTCTTATATATATATATATATATATATATATATATATATATATATATATATATATATATATATATATATATATATATGTGATTTTTCAAGTAAACTTGTTATTTTATTATACTAATGTATTGATTTTTAAACAGGTTGATTTTGAGAGTTTAATTTTGTTAGTTTAACAGGTTTGAAGGAAGTGAATACCATTGGAATTTGCTTCATTCATCTTGTTTTCCTGATTCGTATAATTTGCAATATTTTAAGTCATCTTGCTCTATAAATCTTTTCTCTTCCAGTAACTTCCAACTCTAATAGTGGTTGCTTGTAGTCTTGTTTGAAATGAAGATTTTGTTAAAAAAAAAAATGTTCCCTTTAAACAAAATAAAATTTAAACTGGTTTAATGATAAAAGAAGTTATTCCTGAAAATTTAGTCACTCAAGACGTAGAAGTAGGGGAAAAAATATGCTTGCCATTTGCTATATTGCAAGCTCCAATTGAGTCATTCTTTCGAACTTTGAATTCTTGTGGAAGCCAAAGTACTACAACCTCAAGAATTGAGAACTGTAAACAGAATAAGAATGAGTTGGAATGAACTCCCTCAAAGCAACTACATTCTTCAACCAGAGTTCCGTTTATACCTTAGAAAAATAAAATTGCAATCTATATTTTCTCAAACAGAATGACTAATGAACAAATAATAAGTATTTAATTTAGTTATTATAAATATTGATTTCAAAAAATGGTCTAGCCATAATGAATTATATAAGTAAACAGTAAAATAAAAATTATTTCAAATTAAAATCATGATGTAAAACCAAGAGCCATAGGAAAAAAGCACATTAAAAAAAAAAAAAAAACACATTAAAAAAAACGTTTTTTTTGCAACTCTACTCAAAACACTTAAACATAAAACAGGTCCTTAAAATTATAAAAAAATTTAAATGATATTAGGGACCTGTTCAATATTTAAGGGTCATAAGGAACTCCTAAAAATATTTTTTTAATAAAACTTTTCCTAATCCTGTATTATTTTATTACAAAAAAAGCACATTTATAAAAAATGTTTTATACAATCTAATGTGTGTATGTATAAATGTATGTATGTATGTATGTATGTATGTATGTATGTATGTATGTATGTATGTATGTATGTATGTATGTATGTATGTATGTATGTATGTATGTATGTATGTATGTATGTATGTATGTATGTATGTATGGATGTATGGATGGATGCATGCATGGATGCATGAATGTATGTTTGTATGTATGTATGTATGTATGTATGTATGTATGTATGTATGTATGTATGTATGTATGTATGTATGTATGTATGTATGTATGTATGTATATATGTATGTATGTTTGTATGTAGATTGATATTTTGTTTGACTTTTCTTATTTTATTTATTGAATTTTATTGTTATTATTAAGAATCTTCTAAAAAAGCTAAAGTCATTATGAAAGGAGGAGCTGTTGTTGATCCTGATTCAGGTAGTTCTTTATTCTTATTTCTGATTCAGTTAGTTCTTTATTCTTATTTCTGATTCAAGTAGTTCTTTATTCTTATTTCTGATTCAGGTAGTTCTTTATTCTTATTTCTGACTCAAGTAGTTCTTTACTCTTATTTCTGATTCAAGTAGTTCTTTATTCTTATTTCTGATTCAAGTAGTTCTTTACTCTTATTTCTGATTCAAGTAGTTCTTTATTCTTATTTCTGATTCAGGTAGTTCTTTATTCTTATTTCTGATTCAGGTAGTTCTTTATTCTTACTTCTGATTGGTAGTTTAAATTAACTACTTTAAGTTAGAAGTGACAGAATTATTTTGTAATCTTTTTCATTTTAACATTTTTAGGTCTTGAAGGAAAGTGTCATATATTATCTGTTCGTGGTGAATTGTTTACTGCTGTGCTTGGGCTTGTGGATTTGCTTCGTGGAACAAATTCTTACTATAAAATTCAAGCTTTGGAGCATGATACAAAAAAAAAGTATTTATTACATTTTTTTTATGTTTTATGTATTTATAGTTAGCTGTGTTTATTTGTAACATTTGTTTTGCCTTTTATAATGCAATAATAGAATATCATAATAATATTAAAATATTTTTGTTTTGAGTTGTAAAACTTAAAAAGATTTTTTAAAATAATGTAAAACAAATAATTTATGTTACACATAAAACACAAAATGTTTAAATTTTTTTTCTTAAAAATCCAATTTTTTGTCAAGTTAAATTAGATTTTTAGTTTTTTATAAGTCTTTTTATTTTACTTTTTTTTTTTTTGTTGCTATTTATGATTTGAGTCCAACCAAGCAAAGACTTTAAAATGATTTATGATTAAGACAGGGCTAAAAATGCAAGCTTCCTGAGTGTTAAGAAATTTTTTTTTCACTAATCATAACTGCCATAGTAACAAGCAATATTATCACTATAGTAACAAGCAATATTGTCACTTTAGTAATAAGCATTTTTGTCAACCATGTCATACAGTTAACACAGTAATATTGTCACCAATGTCAGCAGTTAAGCAATATTCTTTGTTTTCTAGTACCTCCCAACTTAATAGCAATTGCTTGCAGCCTGGAATTGGAAAAAAAAATTGAGAAAAAAAAAATTGTGACTACTTTTGTTGTTTGTGATAATTTAATTTATTTAATTTTATTAAAAGCTTTTATTTGCCTGTTAAAGTGCCGAAGATCTGAAAAAGCATTTCTTTTATCTTGGATCTATTAGAGTTGCTTGAGTATAATGGTTATTCAATTCTTCTATGATTATGTGTGATGTAAACAGAGATTTTAAAGTTATTTAATTCTTCTATAATTATGTGTGATGTAAACAGAGGGTTTGTTACAATATTTATTTAAAATGAATGTTCAGATTTGAAGCTTGTATAATTTATATAGATAAAAGGAAAATTATTTTTTATAAAAACTCGGATAGAGTAAGATTTGATTTGTAAAGAAAAATATAACCCCAACCCTGCAACATTGTCTAAAATCGATGCATTTAACATCTAGTTATATCCAAATATATTTTTACTTATATATATAATGTGTATATTGACAATTTAGATATTATGTCTTTCGATCTTGGGGTCGAGTTGGAACAACAATTGGAGGGAATAAGCTTGAAGTAAAATTTTATTTTAATTTGCTTTTTTCTATTTTGTTTTTAATTGTTATTTTATTTCTATTACTTTTTTTTAATCAGTTTTTTTTTTATTCAATTTAATAACTCAATTTTATTTCATTGATTATTAAACTCAATTCAATTTCATTTGATAGCATTTTGTTAATCAAGAAGATGCAATTGAGAATTTTAAAGAGGTATATGGAGAAAAAACAGGTTAAAGTTAAAAATTTCAAATAAACTTAAAATTTAGAAATATAGAATTTTAAATAAAAAGTACTGTTACTGTTTATTTTGCTGTCATTGTTTATTTTGCTGTTACTGTCACTGTTTATTAGCTTGTGTCAACTTAAGCTGTGTAATTGAAACAAAAGATTCAAAATAAGACATTTAGAAATTGTTGCTATAATAACACAGTAAAGTTTACTAATTTAATAACTTTTTAATTAACAATATTTAATTAATTATTTTTAATTAAAGATTTTTAATTAACAATTTTGTTAACAATTTTACACATAATATTAGTTGTATTAGCAATTTTGTTGCAAATTTTACATGTAATTGTTAAATTTTTGTATCTTGCTAATTTGTTAACAGATGTCATTATGATAAGTTAACAATGATACATCATATGTCATTATGCCACAAAAAAACTTAAAAGCATTTACCCATTGACTCTATTTACTGCAAGAAGACAGTTTTTAATTCCTAATCCCTTGAAACTTTATTTTTGTGACAGAAGACAGTTTTTAATTCCTAATCCCTTGAAACCTTATTTTTGTGACAATTCTTATATATTACTAAGTTACATAAGAACTAAGTTTAAGTTTTATATTAAATTTTTTTTTTTTTTTTTTTTTTGAGTTTTGCTTCCTGATCTTTTAGATTTACAAATTAAAGTAAAAAACAATGTTTTACAACTCTCATTAAATTTCTTTTTAAAAATAGCAAACAAGAAATAAGCATAATAATAAAAATATCAAACAAATAAAATAAAATGGCAAACAAATAAAATAAAAATAACAAGAAATAATTGTTTTGACATGTTTGACAGTTTGATAATAATTATTTTTTACTCTAATAGTATTAGAGTAAAAAATAATTCTAATCTATTATAGATTGTTGTAAGTCTGATCTATTATAGATTGTTGGCATAAATGAAATGCATTTTTTTTACTACAAGAAAGATACAAATTGACTTTTTAGTCAACTTGTATCTTTCTTTTGAAAAAGCATAAAAATATGAAGGAAATCAAATAATAACAAGATTTTTAACAGTCTTTTAAACTCAAATATTTAGGGGCACACTATCAGTGTTATTTTTTAAACTTGTATGAAGTTTTATCTATCTATCTAATTTAAACAATCAAATTGAAAACAAATTAAAGTTTAATTTAAAATAAGAATAATAAATAAATTAAATTACAAAATAATCAAAAAAACATTTGCTTAAAGTTTATAAGTAACAAGCGTGCAAGCTTCAGTCATTTGTGTTGTCTAATTATTGTTATTAATATTATTCACATATAAATACTAATAAATTATTTGATAATATGTAACTGTACACTTTAGTCAAAATACTTTATATATTTTGTTGTAAAGAGTTGAATATGAATTGAATATAATAAGTTATGATAAATAAGTTGTAAAAAGATAAATATAATCGTTGTAAATAGGTTGTAGAATTATTTATATTTTAAAACAATAAAAAAAATAAACTTTTTTTTTTACAGGAAACACCTGGAGCAATCGAAAAGATTTTGTAAAGTATCCAAACAAGTTTTATCCCCTTGATATTGATTATGGCCAGGTTTTTTTGCGAAATTAATTTTTTTTTTAATAATTTGATTATTGATGATTTGTAATCATTATTTGGGGTCTAAAACCATATGTATTGGGGTGTGGTCAAAAACCATATGTATTGGGGTGTGGTCTAAAACCGTATGTATTGGGGTGTGATCTAAAACCATATGTATTGGGGTGTGGTCTAAAACCATATGTATTGGGGTGTGATCTAAAACCATATGTATTGGGGTGTGGTCTAAAACCATATACTGGTATGTAAATCAATTTTTTTTCCTGGTTTAAAAAAAACTTTCATCTTTATTTAACCAGGCAAAGTTAAATTAAATTTCTAAATAAATCATTACCTAATGAATAATTTTTTTCATTAAAATTGCAAAGATTTTTTGAACTGAAAATCTTTAGGGTTAGGGTTAGAAGGCTTGGTACCTACATTTATTCTATTTTTCTAAATTATGTTGTTTCTAAATTTTGTTTTCAGTAACTTGATGGTTGCAATAACCACATGCCAATAATGTCATCTGTTGAAACTCTAATGTGGTCATTGTCCTCAATATTTTAAAACTAAAATTAAAAGATTGTAGTCTTTATTATAGATTTAGGCTAACAATGCATAGTCGTACATGGTCAAATCGTTTGTGAACAACAAATTATTATTTTCGTTTGTATTTACAGTTGCAATATTCTTTTTAGCACTTGATGATGTTGTTGCATTATTTAGAGAGGGGAAAAAAGTCTTTTTACAATTAGATGGCTCTCCTAGATAAATGACTATGGGGGTCATTAAAAGTTTGATAATTTTTACATGTTGTCAATGTTGCTCACAAGTTGTGTGAATTCATGACATGATTTTTAATGTAGTTTTATATCAAATTTGATATCAATAATACTTCATGATGATTTTCATGAATTGTTCTATTTTCAGTTATACATGAGAGTTCTATTTTTTGTTATACATGAGAGTTCTAATTTCTGTTATACATGAGAGTTCTATTTTCTGTTATACATGAGAGTTCTATTTTCTGTTATACATGAGAGTTCTATTTTCTGTTATACATGAGAGTTCTATTTTCTGTTATACATGAGAGTACATATAGAGAAATATTGTGTAAATCTCAATTGTTTTTTAAAGTCTGGATTGTTTTTTTTTTTCATAGAATGATGAAATGTTGCAAAGCTCTATTACTCCAGGTAGTTTAAGTATTTTACCGAATCCAGTAAAAGAACTTATAAAACTTATCTTCGATGTAGAAGCAATGAAACATGCTCTTGTAGAATTTGAAGTAATTTTTATTTCAAATATTATTTTTTTTTATATTATTTCTTTCATATTTTATTATAATGTTTTATCGTGTTTTTGTATAACATTTTATACATATTATCATATATTTTCCAATATTATTTATGATTATTTTAGATTTTATTTATAATTGTGTTATTTACTTAATTTTATTTATTTATTTTCTTTTCAACCTTTCTCACATTTTATTGTTGTTTTGTTGCTATTGTTGTTGTTTTATTTCTGTTGTTGTTATTGTTGTTATTGTTGTTGTTGTTATTATTGTTGTTATTGTTGTTATTGTCATTGTTGTTGTTGTTATTGTTGTTATTAAAATATGTTGTTATTGTTGTTATGTTATGTTCAAGATCAAGCACACTTTTGTTGTCTTAACAACCAAATTTTTTTAAACTTAAACTGTTAAAGTTTAAAGATTTAAAAACTGAAAATTTGTTTAAATTAAAAGTTAGCAGTATTTAATTTCTAAAAGTTGTGCCATATATAACATAATATATGTCATATATGTCACTGTTTGAGTTAGTCATACATGACACTGTTTGAATTGAGAAAAGTTTCAATTAACAAGTTTAAAGTAATATCTCTTTACGCAGGTTTTTTTAACACAAGTTTTTTTCAACACAATTTAAAATTTAACACAGAATAAAATAGTGTTATCAAAAAAAAAAAAAAACCATGAATGAAAGCGTTGATTTTCACATACAACTTGTGTATTTCAAATTTAGAATCCTTTTTTAGAATTAATTTTTATGCAGATGATTAGATTTTAGGTTAAAGGTTAATTGATGTTGTAACTAAGTATAATTTACAAGAAGTATTATTAATTAAAGTTGCTTAAAAACTTTTGTTGTTGTATTCTAAAAATATCTTGTCGATCATTTTAATTTATTTTTTCATTTAGATTTTCAGTATATGCCAATCATTTTTTTAAAATATTTTCAGCTGTAAAAGTAAAATGATGTTTTTTTGTTTTTTTTAATAGTTCTATTGACCAATTGGTTCAATAAACAATTCAATGACCAAATATAAAATACATAAGTTCAAGTTATAACATATGAAACAAAGCCCCAATTACAAAGTAAAGCATACTAAAAAAAACTTTAAAGTATTCTGTCAATCAATTCTGTCAATCAAAATTTCCAGGGCAATTTTAAATATTAAATTTTGTAATTTATTTTATCTCATTTTATTTCTTTAAGTAAGGTTGTTGTCAAAAAATTATGTAATCGGCCCTGAAAATAAAGAATATGAAAATATAATCAAGAATTGATTATATTTTTGTATTGAAAATATAATCGAGAAGTTTTTTTCTTTTTTTGCAATTTTTATGTTCACACTCTGGTAGCTAAATTTTTTTTTTTTTTGTTTTGTTTACTTTTTATACTTTTTCCCCTTGTCATGACACACCCTAATGAGCATTTTAATAACATATATATATATATATATATATATATATATATATATATATATATATATATATATATATATATATATATATATATATATATATATATATATATATATATATATATATATATATAAATATATATATATATATATATATATATATATATATATATATATATATATATATATATATATATATATATATATATATATATAAATATATATATATATATATATATATATATATATATATATATATATATATATATATATATATATATATATATATATATATATGGTTTACTTAATTTTATATTAAATTTTTTTTATAAAGTTTTTGTTAAAGATTCTTGTTTAATTAAACAAAAAAGTTTGCTTATTGTTAAAAACAAAATAATCTCTATTCAAATATCTTTAATTGCATTTTTTCAACTGAGGTATAATGTTAAAGTTATACTTCAATACACCTATCCGTTCGCAAAAAACGTGTAGAAATATTGAGGTCTGGATCCAAAATGTGTGGGTAAAATAAAAACAAACTTTTACGTACAAAGGATTTTTAAGCAAACATTAAAATCTTTTTGTTTGAATTATTTATCCAAAGATACTCATAAATGATTTATATTTAATTAATAAAATGAAAGTTTATGAGTTGAAGCAGTATAAGACTTCGAAATTTGCATGTTTCTGGAACAAATAGGAAATTGGTTGCTCGTGTATTTTCTGCAATGGAAAACTTTATTGAGCCTGTACTAACTGCTACCAAGGCAGTCGAAGAACTTAAAGATGAATATCAAAAAAAACTTTTAATTGACAGTGTTAAATGCAGTGATCCGTTTATCTTATTAAATGGTTGGTTATCTGAAGAGGACAGTATTAAACAATGGCCAATGGTTTTGTATCCAGATATTACTACTACCCACCCTAAAGCAATGACCAGTATCTGCCACTGTGTCAAAATTATATGGCTGTTAATTTATTATATTCCTGAAATCCCAATATCAATACCAATATCAATCATGGCATTTTGAGGTTCTAACACTTGTCCGCTGTATCGTATTAATTTTGTTATAAAAATCTAGCAATATATTTATTTGCTACTATAAAGTGCTCTTTTTCTAAAAATGCCCCCCCCCCCCCCCCCACCTTCCTACTCACAAATATTTCAAGATATGGGCCTCTATGGTTAGAGTTTTAAGTGGGAATTACGGCATAATAAAAAAATATTTTCCCTATGGACTTGTAAGCATGATATATTGTTAGGAAAGTAATTCATTGCAAAGTAAATTTTTACTAAGTTCGTTACATATAATTATTAGTGCTATATCAGAAAGGGGTTAGGGAAGTGCAACTTGTTGCTCTTAAGTTTAGGCCAGGGGGGCCAATGTTTTAGGTCTTTTTTGTTCCCAGGCTTCAACATCGCAGTCTTTTGTAAAGAATCTTTATTTGACATAATGATATTTTCATACCAGCCCCTCCCCCCATGGTTCTAATATTATTAAAACTTAAAGCATTAATAAAGTTTAATTTCTAGAAATAAATTAACATTAATATTAATTTGTTTAGAATTACTTTTGTGCTGTTTTTTTTTAATCACTATTTTTTTGTGCTGTTTAACTTTTATAGCCTTAGCAGGCCATGAACATAGGCGGTGATCACCTCAATTTTTTGAGTTTGCATATATAGATTTGTTGAATATCACCCATCCACCCCCAACATACGCAAATTACACATCTTACAACACCTAACCCTTGCTGCATACGTAATATATGGATGACCCCTAAACATGATTGTTCCAAACACCCCTAAAATGACACCTAGGAGGTCATGACCACTTAACTAACTTATAAACATTTTAAATTATTAACTAAAACAGTGTTTATCTAGTAAAAAATAAACTTATTAACCTTTTTTTTTGAAACATATACAGTTACAAGAATGTAATGTTCATGAAGGTTTGAAAAAAGATCAATGCAGTTGTATTCTTTCATTCAATCGTTACTGTTTTCCAAGTTCTTAAAAAAAATTCTAGAGAAAGGAAAGTAAAAAGTTTTATTAAAAAGTGAAGGTAAAAATAAGAAAAATGGAATCCATGTGACAGTGATTGTGAATGTTCAATGGATTTTGTAGATGGAACACCTACCATTGTTAACATAGAAGGAGTTTAAAACAAATTTGTACAAAATTGAACTTTTTAGTTTTGAAAGGTATTAGTACAGATTTCTATGCTAACACATTATTCCTTGCATATTATTATTTAACGGCTTTAAGGTCTTATATTTCCATCTCTTGAATTATTGACCAAAACAGGTTTTAAGCTACACAATTGCACTCACAATATCATGTTGATGATATTGTGAGTGCAGCACAAGCCCTCACAATATCATCAACATGACGCAACATTGTTAGAGGAAAAACATTTAAAATTTTTTAAGTTTTCATTCTATTAATGACTTGTTCAACGTGTAATCTTAAGTTTGATATTTTTTGAGTTTTTTTACATTCAGATGCAATCATTTGACTTTTAAGACGAGCACCTGGAGGAATTATTAAAGTACAAAATCTTAACAAAAATTCTTCCTGGATTTGAAATCCACGATCTGCCATGACTTCATCATCACGCTCTAACAAGTCATAAAAACCAGTCTTTTATTATAAAATTATGTTAACATCTTCCACCATAACAATCAGATAAAAAAGTGATGAAATCACTAGGCGAATTTCCAACGAGAAACTTAAACGTATTGTGTTGTTTATAATCAGACTAAGTTGAAGCTTGTGCTAAGAGAGACTTAAATCTGCGCTTTAATTTGCTAGTATTCTGAACATGTTTTGGTTCTCGCCAGTAACTAAGCTTTTGATAAAATGGTATAATAAGTAAGAAGATGGCATTAATTAAAGCTATTATAGATATCCCTGTATAAAAATTCATTTTTTTGCGTGTTTTAACTTTGTTGCATGAAAAAATCAATAATTTCTTAGTCTGATTAACTTGTTTTTAGTTTAGTTGCTTCAAGAATATATATTCAAGAAATTAACTTTTTAACAAGAGAGTCAATCAAAGACGTTTTAGAATTACATCCTTTACACACATTTAGCATTGACTGGCTAGCATATGAATGTTCACAGCTTGGCGGTGGTAGATAAATTGTGTTATCGTTATTATTACTGCATAACTCATTGGTATTATTATTTTGGCAACAATTATTTAAACTCTTTCTCGGCTTAATATTAGTTGAATTATATCCCATATTTAAAGTAGGATCTGGATTAGCAATGGTAGGTGTTCCATCTACAAAATGCTGCTGCATGGATTTCATTATTTCTTATTTTTACCTTCCCTTTTTAATAAAATTTTCCACTTTTCTCTTTCTCTAGAATTTCTTAAAAAACTTGGAAAACAATAAAGATTGAAAAAACGATAACAACCACATTGTTCTTTTTTCAAACCTTCATGAACATTACATTCTTGTTTTTTTCCACTTCAAATGTTTATAATGGTTATTCGAACACCCTATTACTGCACAGTTTACACCCTATTACTGCACCTCTTGCCATCATGTTAAATTCAAAAGACGAGATAAATACAAATAAATACTAATTCAAATACAGATATTTAGGAAGTTTTTTCGACTTTTACCCACACAATTAGAGTTCAGTCCCCACCGCACAAAATGGTAGAATTTAAGTTCGATAGGTGTATTAAAAACTCATTTTGTCATGTTAACTTACATCATTCTGTTGAAATTAGAGTGTAAATTTTTATGAACAATGAATAATGATTAGTGAATGAAACTTCTTTATATAAAACGTTTACAGCAAACATTTAACGAAATTAAATAAAATTTTATTTATTTATATAAGTTTATTAGTAATATTAAATTGTGTAGTAAATACAAATTAATTATGAAAAACATTAATTTAATTTTGTAAAAGCATTTGCTAAAAGCCATATGTATAATAAAAGTTTTTTAATTAATATTTAAAAGATAATTTTGCTTATCGTTAAAAACAAAATAATCAATATTCACATATTTTTAATTGTGTTTTGGGAGTCGAAGTAAAACATTTAAAAAAACTCATTTTCTAAATAATAACCTACATCATTCAGTAAATTAGAGCATTAGAAATGTTTTCTAATGCTCTAATTTACTGAAGAAAATAAAAATTGACTGTAGTATTATGTTAAAGATGAAGACAATAACAAAGAAAATACATAAAAGATAAATTTATTCTTTAAAACAATATCATTAAGTACTAGGTGGAAAGAAAAACACTATCAGATGCGATCAAATAGTAAATAAGTATTTAGGAAGTCGAAAGAATTTTAAGCGTTTTGTCAGGCAGTGCGCTGCTAAATAATAATTTTGAAATATTTATTGTCTAAAGAACATTGTATAACAAATTAAAAGTTATTAAAATTGTTTGGAACCCATATTTAAAATAAAAGATGGCACCCGATAACTTAATAACAAGTGCGCATAATCGCGCTTGCTAAAAAAATATTTTAGCAAGCGCGATTATGCGTTTTAAAATAGCTTTACAGGCGCGAAACATCGCGCTGGACAATTTTCTTCATGCCAAAGCCTGCATATATATAAATAATTTGGTTATGGCATTTTTGCTCCCTCATATGGTCATGGTCCTGTAAGATGAGTTTTGATATAAAAACACTAAAATTAACATTATTTATGATTTCATTTAAAAAACCTTACCCAGGACCTAAAAATACTGTTTTGGCAACAGTAAAATTTGGAATAATTTTTATTTATGACTATAATATAAAGCATAGTTAAGAAATAATAATTGAATAATATAATAAAATGAAATCACTTGTTTGATAAAATATGCTTCAAATTGATTTTTTCAGTACTTTTACACTTTTACATTTTCTCTATTCCAATGTTTCCTAAAAATTGTCTGTGCTTTCTTTAAACCGTTGTATAATTTTTCATAATTGTCTTCTTTATAACAATGGTGACTGAACCAAACATCAAACCAAGTTCTCCAAATCAATTCACAACTTTCAGCAAGCAGTTTAAATCAGTCAGAAAAGAAAGTTAAACATATATTGCTCTAGAGTTCCACCCAAGGAAATTACTCATGTTCTTGGTAATATCGGTAAGCATGATGTTGGCATCATATTTACTGAGGTAGAGGAAATTTCTTTTTCTCAAGTTTTTTTTCAAGTTTCTTTTTCTTTAAATTTCTGTTGGATGAGTACAACAACTCTATTTATCATTGCAGTATTGATACCTGTGGTTTCACAGATTATAATTTTATGGCTTTTCCACAAACAGTATTAATCTCACAATTGTAACATCTCTGTGAATCCATAAAATAATGTTGCTGCTTTTCCATCACTAAAAGTTAGTGCTGCTAGGCGAACTCCAGGGTTCAATTTTTAAATCTAACATAAACAAAAAGTCAAAGTCAGTTCAAGCGCATATTTTATATGTATTTTTTTATAAATATTGAAAGCCCAATAACCCTAATATACATACATACATACATACATACATACATACATACATACATACATACATACATACATACATACATACATACATACATACATACATACATACATACATACATTTGTATGTATATTAGGGATATGGCGCTTTCAATGTTTATAAAAAAATACATATAAAATATGCACTTGAACTGACTTTGAGTTTTTGTTTATGTTAGATTTAAAAATTGAACTTTTTACTAATATATTTTTCATCTTAAATTAATAAACACAACTCTATAGTTTAATACTGATTAATTCTTATTTATGATGTAATTTTTATTGTTATATCTTGTAGAAGTATATGTACTTTGAATAATAAAAAAAGCTTAAAATATAATCATTAGCAACTATCTTTTTTTTCCACGATTTGTTAAAGAATTTTTTTATTGTTTAAAAAGATAGGTTTGTTAAACAAAAGTTTACATTTAGGCTTATAAATATGATTGTATGGTGTTTATAAATATAAGAAAGTTAATTACCTCTTAAGTATCTAAACGTTTCTATTAGAGATGGGCTGATTCCAAAAAATATTGATTCCGATTCTCAACTGCGATTCCGATTCTTTATCGATTTCGATTCTTTTATGATTTTTATTATTTTAGCTTAACTGCTTATAATTAATTTAATACTTACACAGACTTAAAAAATAAAAACATTAAAATCAGTTATATTGGTACAGGTGAAACAAGGCTAACAACACCAAGGCTTTAGGGAGTGCGTCCAATGCCAAAACTGGATTTGTGAAAGTATTCTAGAGCCGAATTGTCTAAAAACTGCTTAGAATCGAAAAAGATTTAATTAGTTTCTAGAATCGAATTTATTGAACATAGAATGAGATGGTCAAATATCATTAAAAGTTTAATGAAACTTAAAACTGAATTGCTTTTCACAGCCGATTAATTTAACATTGAATTTAACAATCTTTAAGTTGTCAGTGCCGGATTAAGGAGGGGCTAGGGGGGTTATAGCCCTAAGCCCTGCAAATTTAGGGGCTCCCTAGAGGACCTTTTTTTTTAGTCATTTATTGGCTTTGTCCCATAAAAAAGCCTCCAAAAACAAAAATAGCCCCGGGCCCAAAGAAGTCTTTATCCGCCACTGTAAGTTGTTGTTTTCCCTTGCCGCCATCTTTGCCTATGCCAACGATACGTTAAAGCCATTCAAAGTAGTGCTACTAATCATTGTCCAGTATGCAGAGGACCAACAGCAGATTTTATAAATGTGTTAATTTAATGTATTATTTAATAAACTGCATACATACATTAAAATTTCAATTTATTTAACTGATTCGATTCTAGAAGATTTTGTTCTAGATGGTGGGTCTATATTATTTGACTAAAACAAGTTTTAATGACTTAATTTAAAATATTTGATCCTAAAAAATTCGACTGTAAATGATTCTATCCTAACAAAGAAAGTTCAAATTCGATTCTAAATAGCTTCGATCAATAAAAAATTTGATTGTCTAATTCTATTCTATCTAAATTCAGTTACAGTATGTGATATGCTAGGGAGCACGCCCTCCCCACACCTTTTTCTCCAACACTTTTTTTATCAAGAAATTGACCTAGAAAATGAGGATTTAAAAAAAAAAAGGAGTGTGCCCCTCCTCTTCCCCCCTTGGATCAGTAGATGCGAGAGGCCTAGTATTTCCAAACACTTGTTGTATTGTCAGTTGTTTAAGAGATGAAGATCTTGGCTTCATTTTTACAGAACTAAGTGTAGAAGAAGAGTATTAGTATTGAACTATAGTATCTAGTATTGAACTCCACATCCTCAGGCTTAGGCCCGATACTTGTAAATATGGATGTGAGTGTAGATTGAGGTTCCCTTGGCATGATCATGGGAGTATCACAAGCAAGGTTAGGACTGAATTTAGAAGATGGTTCTGCAGTAGAGCTATCCGTGCATATATCAAAATCGATAATAATAGCTTTATCCTGTTTCTGATTTTCAATATCAGATTTGTGAAAAGCATTTAAATGCTTTAGCATGTTCAATGTTTTGTATGACTGACAAATTCTGCCATCACTTCTGGATATAACTGTTTTGCAAAAGCTGCATATTGCAAAGTTAGTGTCATTTAAATTGATCGCAAAATAGTCCATGCTTTTCTTACGTTTTGGCATGATAATGATACTATATTCTGAAATAAAAACAGCATTTATAAGACTAAAAAAATTAAAATACAAACAATAAAACAAGCAAATAAGATTATTATAATAGCACTTTTCGCCGGTTCAAATATCTTTTTGTGGCAATATTTTGCGTATTTGCAATGTTTAAGGTATTCTTTCACAGTTTTACTTAACTTCAACAATGATATTAAACGCAAAAGTGAAAATTAAACAAAACAAAATTACAACGGCAAAGAGTGTATTTTAATTCAATTATTAAGACGGTATTAAAGGCAAAGAGTGTATATTTTATTTCAATTATCAAGGAAGTATTAATAAAAGAAGTGAAGTTGTTAAAAAGTCATTTTAGAAAGAATTGGATTCGTTAAAAAAGGTTTAGAATCGCAATTCTTAAGATTCCTTGAGAATCGCTGGAGTTGGGAGAATCGGAGTCGGCCCATCTCTAGTTTCTACCTTTATTTTTTGACCTGTAATTTTTTTTACTTTAATATTTTAGATAGACATGAAAAAAATGCCTCTTGGTAAATTATCAAAAAAACAAATTGAAACAGCATATGGTTGTCTTGGAGATTGTCAAAAAGTAAACTTTTTCTATTATTTATATTTGTTTAATATAAATGTTTCCATCGTAATATTAGTACAATAACTATATAATTTGCATTATGTTGTAAAATCATTTAAATTTTACATTATACTTATCATTATTACTATGTAATTACTTATACTACATATATGTAAGTATATTTTTTATGATAGCCCACACAGAAAAATGAAATATTAAGGAAAAATATACCATAAAATATTAATATAATATATCTAAGAAATATTTTTCAAAAACAAAAAAACAGATATTTAGAATAAAAATTGGTTTATTTTAAGGAGAAAAAAAATATGGGTAAGTTTTTTAATTTTTAAACTGTTTTTTTTATTTTTTCCTGTGTAGAGAATTTAGAATAAAATTTTTCACTTTTCTCTTCTATATAAACTGTGATGCTTTTTTTCTTTTCTATATCAACTATTGTGTTTTTTTCCAGTTGATAAGCTATTTTTTCAGTTCTTTATTTGCTCAATTTTGTTTTAAAAATTTCTTTAGAAGTTTAGTTCTTTTTTTTTCATCAAGTTTTAAATTTTGCCTCAATTTTTTTCATCAAGTTTTAAATTTTGCTTCAATTTTTTTTATCAGGTTTTAAATTTTGCTTCAATTTTTTTCATCAAGTTTTAAATTTTGCTTCAATAATAATAATAATAATATGAAAAATTTAAAATATATTTCATTAGTATAACTACAATTGTATTTATAATTATATTAGTATGAAAAATTAAAAATTGTATTAAAAAATAAGATTCATAAGAAGAAAAGTTGAGAAAAGTACGTAAAAAGGGTCATTAAAAACTTATGTTTTTAATGACCCTTTTTACGTACTTTTCTCAACTTTTTTTAATGATGTTTACTAAAGGTTCAACTTCTTTTACAATGAAATTTTGCATCTTGTTTAAAAGAGACAAGATGGAAAAACATAAATAGAAGACTCAGTCCAAGTATGACAAAGGTGCTTCATACAATGACGTATATGAAAGTGTCAGAAAATGACAGTGAGGAAATGAGGGCTGCAAGAAACAACTTAGCATATAAGAATTTCAGTGAAGATACTTATATTATTATATTTTTTTCTAAAGATATTTTAAGCCTTTTAATACAGTTTTTTTTAGACAAATTGTTTAAAATTTTTTGCTATTGTTACAATATCACAAAAAAATGCAAATAAACATTTTTTTTTTTTTTTTGTAAAAAAATTAGTAGGATTCATTGCTCATGAAAATAAAGACGGCTACCCATAAATGAAGATATTTATAATTTTTATTAAAAAAAATGTTTTTTTTTATTTGTTATTTTTTTTTATTTAGTTCTTAGCTAATAATGATCCAGGATCAAAAATCCTTGATGCTTCAAATCGATTTTATACATTAATACCTCATGATTTTGGGATGAAAAAACCACCACTGTTAGATAATGAAGAGTTAATAAAACTTAAAATTGGGATGCTTGATAGTTTGATGGAAATAGAAGTTGCATACAATTTGATAAAAGGTACAAAAGATAATGGAGCAAAAGATCCTATAGACCTCCATTATGAAACTTTAAAAACAGATATTAAGGTTTGTATAAACAATTTCATATATTTGACGATAAAGTTTTTAATAAACATTTTTAGCTTTTAAACGGAAAAATGAAATATTCAAAATGTTGGAATTCGTTGAAATGATTTAGAAAGGCTTGACCAGTATTTTAAGGTGGTATGCTCTATGTTTTAGGTGTTTATTAATTATAAAAAATACTATATGTTATGGCTGGTAATTAATTGTGAGTGTTGATCATTTGTTTAACATTTTAAATTGTTTAACTTTTATTAAAAATATAAATAAAAATGATATAAAAATGTAATAATTTAATATAAAAGTAATAAAAATGAATTATCATTTTTTAAATGTTTAATTTATATAGTTGATCAAGTTTTTATTATATTACAAATTAATTTTTATATTTTTTAAAGTTCTACACTACATTTTGTTAAGTACACTACATTTTTGAACAGCATGTTCAAATAAATTTAGTTCACGCAACTGAGAAAACTATGTTGGTATAGTGTTGCATTTAATGTAAATTGCAATTAAATTTAGTTTATTTTTTTTTATCTATTATTCATCGATTATACATTATTATGTTCGATTATGTAATATATATTATGTAATGATTAGATATTATGTTCGATTTGCTTGTGGGTAATATTTCAATATTCACAAATTTTTTACTCATAATGTAGGTTGTATACATCGGATCAATGTTAGGTTTAAATCATAAAATAAGTTTTGTGATGTAACTGTGCAAGTTGTTTTTAGTATTAATCTTTTTATTGATATCATTACTTAACACTTTACATTGGATCAACGTTTCCCAGCAAGCGCAATCAACATTGAATTAATGTTGAAAAACTGTTGAAATTTATGGTTGAAAAATGGTTGATTTTTGGTTGAAACGGAAGCACAAATCAATGTTAAAAAAAAAGCTAGATCAACGTTAAAAAATCAATATTAGATTAACATTGATTCAACCAACTTATACATGAGTTTGTAAACCTCAAAAATACAACTTTTTGCGGCGTGACTCTTTTAATTCCAAAAAACATATTTTTTGTACAATATTGTGTTGTTATGAGTAAGAAAAGAAACAATAATTCTTCATAAACTTATAATAGCTGTCATAGTACAATATCTTATGCTATTATATTGCACATTATGTTCTCAATTTGTACAGCTTTTATTTATTATTATTAGTAGTATTAATAATTTATTTTATATTGTAATTCTAATTGTTGTTACAAATTATCTGCCCTGTACCATTTTTTTAACGCAGTTAACTAAATTATAGAAATTGTAAAGCCATTATTGAAAGCAAATAAAACCAAAAAAAATAATTTATACATTTTTAGAACAAAAACTTATACAAAATTAAAATTATTTTCAAAACATTCTTGATAAAATCATGATATCTTTATCTTCAACACCAATGTCAAATTCATATGTATTTTTATCCCCTGCTGTCATCAGACTCATTTTGATTTGATGCACATTTCTCACGATCCAATCAATATGGTGCAAAGTTCAAACGGTTTAAATTCTATCTTTTTGCATTGTGTCTTTTTATTTAAGAACATCAGGTAACTGCATCTAAATAAAAAAAAAGTTAAGTGTACATTTGGTAAATTAAAGGTACATTTGTACATTTTAAAAGTATTATTATACTTTCCATTGTTCACAAGCAAATGTGAACATTAAGTGATCAATAGTGGAAAAAAACACAACCCATAACTGATCCATGCCTAATTTACTTCATTATTGACTGAGATATCAACCTTTTTTCGAATAAAGATACATTATACATTAACGTCATACATCAACGTATATACACACATAACAAACCTTTTAGGCATTTATACGTTGCTTAAGTCAAACATTCGTTTAGTAGAACCATTTTCCTTGGTCTCTTGGAGGGTTAAGATATCTGTAATTAACTGTATTTATATATATATATATATATATATATATATATATATATATATATATATATATATATATATATATATATATATATATATATATATATATATATGTATATAATTATACACATATATGTATAAATACATATATATGTATAAATACAAAATACATACATAATCGTATATATATATATATATATATATATATATATATATATATATATATATATATATATATATATATATATATATATATATATATATATATATATATATATATATATATATTGGTGGGAGCAGCGCAAAGAAATATAATATACATACTATAACACCTTGTAAAAGTTTAAAATCCATTTTCTTTTGTTTGTTTTGTTTTAGATTAGGTCAAGTAAAACTTTGTTCTTTAATTTGCCATTAACCTGCCGAATCAAAATAAATTTAATCAAAAAAAAAAAAAAAACTGTAAAAATACAATAAAATTACAAATCAATTAAATTAATGGAATACTCAAGTCACAAATTAAAAAAAATAATGAAATCATGGCAAATAAATGTGATAAACAAAATCTTATTTAAAATCTTAAAAATCAGACATGAATACAACTGAGAGGTTAGAGTTATTAGACAAATTAATCTAGACTAGTCTATACAAATGTGATTAGATACTTAACAGATATATTGAAATATTATAAAAAAAAAAGAAAGAAAGTTAGGGAAAAAGCTGTTTGTAAACAGCTTTTTACACTACTTCTTTTTAATAAACTACTTCTTTTTAATAAATTTGTTTGTAAACAGCTTTTTACACTACTTCTTTTTAATAAACTACTTCTTTTTAATAAATTTTTTGCTGATTTGAAGTCTCTGTTAAGAAATCTTAGCTCTAATTTGAGCATGCTGTTAGCAACTTTTAATAATTTTTTCTTTTTTTAAAAGTCCTAACTTTTTTATAGATACTATAAATAAGAAAATAATAAATAATTAATAGAAATAAAGTAAATAAATAATTATAATATTAATAGTATTAATAAATAAAATAATAAAAAAAAGAAATAAGAAATTTGTTTAACAAATTGTCATCTATGCAACTTGATGATTTAGATTATATTATGTGTAAAAAAAAAATTAGCAGAAAGTTGTCATGAATAGTACAATATTGACAAATCCAAGACAATTATCTATGATGGCAGAGTAATAAAAGTTAATTAAAAAAGACATGATTTACATTCATTGTTACTTTCATAATGTTTATATAATGATATGCATTATATAACCAGAATGTTTTGCATTAAATAACCAGAATGTTTAATAAATTTGGCTCCTCTCTCTGGATGAGCATTATATGCACATGACAAAAAAAAGTAGATATATTTAAAAATGACTTTTGGTATACTTTAACTTCTATATTATTAAAGCCTACATTAACTAGTCTATTTTTTGCTTTTTTAACTAAAGCTTTAAATTTTTGTTCTGTTCTACTGTGCAAGCCATCTTTATTTTATTTTAATAATGCAACATAAAATAAAAAAAATAACAACGGCAAAATGAAAATACCAATCTACTTTGGAGTTATGTTAACGCCTGCAATCCAGTTTATAAGTTTTTACTTTACCTGATGTTATTATACCAATTCCTAACAAAAAGAATACAATAAATAATTTACATAAGATTTGATAAAGACTATATGGTCTTTAATACTGCTCTTATAAATATATGTAATAATCATTTATATATAATAGGTTATAATACCTGTAGTTTTATCACATTTTAGTTTAAACTTATACTAACCAACTGTTGTGATTTATTGCAATTTTTTACTGCAAATTTCACATTTCTATTCGGACAACGGACAAAACCATGCTTTATTCAACTTGATGGAATTTCATTTATACATACAACATTGTCTTTTGATTTTATAATACTAAAGACTTTAATTTATCTTTATATAAAAATTTAATCTAAATTCATATAAATGTTTATATGAATTTACAGTATATACAAGTTTTGCATTTTTATATAAAATATGCAAAATTTGTGTACACTGCAAATTCATATAAATTTTTGTAAAATTATACATATTTTCATAGCAAAAAAATCTTTTAATGTTTTCACTTTTATTACATTAATACTTTTATTAAAAGTTTTTAAAGAACTTTCCCACGCACAAATCAATGTGAAACATTAAATTTTATTCTAATTCCGAATTATTAGTACATTTGCGTCTGCGAACTCTCGCAGACGCAAATGTACTAATTTAAATTAAGTTGAAATTACGTTGAAATCTAAATTTCAACATAATTTTAACGTTATTTCAGCGTTTATTTTTCAACGTTAATTCAACATTTCAGTTAAAAATCAGCGTTGAATCAATGTTGAAATTTCAACGTTTTTTTTTTTAACGTTGAACTAACATTGAAATAACGATGAAATTTAAATCGTTATTTTTCAACCATATATCAACCATTTCTCAACGTTGAAAAAACGTTGAAATAACGTTATGTGCTTGCTGGGTTGCATTACAAAAAAACAGCCAATGATTGACGATGGTTTTACATACGTTTACTCAATGTATGTGTACTAGATGGGTATGGTTATTGTAAGGATGGAAAAAAATTTATTTTTTTGTATAATTTTTATTTTTTAATTAGGTTGTTGATAAAGAAAGTAAAGATTTCGAATTAATTGTAGAGTATGTAAAAAATACCCATGCAAAAACTCACTCTAACTATTCTCTTGATGTAATAGAGGTATGTTTTAATTGCACAATACTCATTAAAAAGTATGTTTTATTTGCACAATACTCATTAAAAAATATGTTTTTAATTGCACAATAATCATTAAAAAGTATGTTTTTAATTACACAATACTCATTAAAAAGGTTTTGACTGTTTTTTCTGTTCATAATCTGCTTTTTATTTTTTGTAAAATTATTATGCAAGTAGTGCTAATTATCTTTAATTATGCAAGTAGTGCTAATTATCTTTAATTATGCAAGTAGTGCTAATTATCTTTAATTATGCAAGTAGTGCTAATTATCTTTAATTAGGAAAATTACCTGCAAATTACCAAAATAAATTAAGATGGTTTTCAATTGGGTCCTGATAAGTTAAAGCATAAATAAAATTAACATATACTTAAAAATATAAAATAATATTAAAACTTTATAGGTTTATCATAGAATAAAATACTTTAATTAAAAATACCCATTAATTTTACTTTGAGTTCTCTTGGGTTTTTACTATGCCAAACAGTGAGTGGCAGACGATTAAATAAAATTACTCTATGGTAAAAGAAACCTTTTACCAGGTGGTTTCAAGCCTCAATTTAGGCATGATCATATTCAATGTTTTATATATTCAATGGATGCGGTTTATATATACAATGGATGCAGTTTAATTAGGTTGTAGTAAGTTTAAAGTTAAACCACAGTAATAATAGTAAGATCATTGAGAAAAAAATTTATTTAGCATTATTGTTAAGAGGTAGCATGGTTTATTTAGAAAGGTTAGAAATTACATTTTAAAGTCATTGTTAATTGAAAGAGTTTGATCAAAGATGTTTGTATCTTTTAGTATTATTTATTTTTACCTTTTTTTTTATTCAGTTTTACCTTTTAGTTAAAGGTTCAGCAATAGATTTATTCTAAACCATTCTGATAATCGATTTAAGTGATCCCGTATTTTTTCTTCAATTTATTGAATGTCGTTTTTTTTACAAATTTAAATTTGTGGAAATTTCCAGAGACGCAGACACTTTCACATTGTAGGTGGCAAACAAGATTCTGTTAAAAACCAGTTATGAGTTGTAATGCTAAACTAGTTATTCCATTTTTCAGTAAAAAATTATTTTAGTAAAATATTGATATGTATATTTATATGATACTGTATAATATTGATATCAATACATAATATTTAAACATTTTTTTTTTTTAAGTTATATAATTTTTTCTTTTGTATTCATTTAAAGGTTTTCTCGATTGAGCGTGCTGGCGAAAAGCAAAGGTATCGACCATTCAAAGATTTATTTAACAAAAAGTTACTTTGGCATGGTTCACGAACTACTAATTATGCTGGCATTCTGTCTCAAGGCTTGCGTATTGCTCCTCCTGAAGCTCCTGTAGTAAGTTTAAAATAGTTGTTCTTAGGATTTTTTATTAACAAAAAATTACATTAAAATAAAAACAAGCATTATAAATTTAGAAAAAACACTTAGAAATTTTTTAAAATGATTTTATTTATAAATATAAATAAAATCATTTTAAAAAATTTCTAAGTATTTTTATTTTTAAAGAAAAGCATTTTTTATTATAGACGGGTTATATGTTTGGAAAAGGAATTTATTTTGCAGGTTTTTTTTTATCATTTTTATTTATTTATTTTTTTGTATTAGGTCAAGCACTTTACTTTGTTAAATATTTTTTTATAATTTTTTACAGATATGGCTTCCAAGGTAAATTTTTTTAATATTTAATTTTTTTAATTTTATTTTGTTTCATAAATAAATGAAAAATTTTTATTTTTTATTTTTTTAAAAGTCTGCAAATTGATTTTTAGTCTGCAAATTATTGTTGTACAACTCGTTCAAACAATACAGGGTTAATGTTGCTATGTGAGGTAGCACTCGGAAATATGTATGTTTTTTTTTTTAAATACTTTTTTTGAGTCGTCCCCAAATTACGCCACGCAATTTTTGACCGTTTTAGACCCTCTTCCCCCTCTCCTCGTCACAATATCATTACTCTTTAGTAACAAGTTCCGTATGAGTCACAAAACCGTTAACCCCCCACCACCTCCCTCCCATGGCGTTATTTACGGACAACCCTTTTTAACTTTCTTTTAATTCAAAATAATAGAAATTGTAATTTACTTTTAGTTTTCAACTTTCATACATCATTTTATGCATATTTGATTTTTAAAATTGAAAATTTGATGTTTAATCTTAAAATATTTTTTAGCTTAAAAATTTTGATTAAAAATTATTTTTTGGTTTGTGTTTGTCTCTATTTGTTCTCGATATCGATTAAATTTCAGGGAATAATCATTGACTTTATAATTCATCATAGCTTTACTAGCCATGATGAATGCAACTTATCTAGGAGAATAAAACTGATAGAAGCTAATTGATTATGGGTAAAGGCTGAAGGAGCTTGTAAACCCTGGATGGCAATCTTTCTAGCGGTATTATCACAGTAATTATGCTCTATCCTGGTCGGCATAAATAGATTAGCGCTATAAAACGCATCCAGAAAAAACTGCTTTTCTATAATATCGTGTATAAATAAGTATAAATGGTATTATAGAACCATTAAAACGCGAAGTGTATTTCAACTATTCGGGTGTCTGAAACCAGGTATCAGGGTAATAGAAATATTTCATGTTTCATATTATATACACTGAGATAAATATAACCAAATAAATATATGTAATATATTTATTTGGTTATATCATTTCATTATTATATTCATATCAGTGATTAGATATAAGTTATCAATGTAGTATGCCAGTAATGCAGTCAAAGTATAAATGATGCAGTCAAGACATGTGATCTTTTACAAAACAAGATATAATAACAAAAATACTACAAAACTCAAATATTCACCGGAATTAACGCTTTTTGAATGTATGGCTGTATATCAGAAACTCGTTTGATACCTCGTTTAGCTTGTTTGGTATCATTCCTCGTATCGTTTAGCCGTTTGGTATTATTCATCATATTCTCGTGATAGCTTGCTTGGTATCAAGCATTTCAATTAACTATTCATTACATTTAATAAATTATGTGAATAATATATTTTAAAATACGAAAAAAGAAAAACTAAATTGTTTTAATAATTTTTTACTTCTTTTATTAATTTTAAATAAAATTCATAAAAAGCTAGATAAAGTTTAAACATTTATATTAAGTCACGTGTCCAAAACGATTTGTTTTCTAACATGAGAGAAACAAATCAAATTTACTTTTTTCCCCTTTATGTTAGAACATCTTGTAGTACATACGCATATCTAAATTAATAATATTTATAAATTTTTACATTAATCTTGCTTTAGGTATGAGCTTAAGCAATCTGAGCATATTTCAAAATTACCACCTGGCAAGCATAGTTGTAAAGGTCTGTAAATTATCTACTTGTAAAGGTCTATAAATTATCTGCTAGGTTGATGGGTAGTTTAGAATATTTTATGCAATTTAATTGAATTTTTTTTAGGATTAGGAAGTACGAGTCCTGATCCCTCAATGGATAAAGTGATAGACGGTGAAGTTCTAGTTCCCCTAGGTAAACCCATAAGCACAAACATAAAAGATTCTACACTTCTGTACAACGAGTATCTTTTCATACTAAACTTTAGTTTAAAAATTTGTTATTTTTTTCTCAAATGTTTTGATTTTATTTTTCTTTAACCAATCGATTTTAGGTATATAGTGTACGATGTTGCGCAAGTAAATATAAAGTATTTAGTTCAGTTAAAGTTTAACTATTGTTATTGATTCTTAATCTATCATGATTGACTCTTTTTTGGGGTTTTTTCTTGATTATTGTCTTTATTTGTCTATTACTTTAAGAACTTCAATTGTAATAAAACCCGCTATTACCCAGTGGGAAATCGGCTAGCTAACGATACTCGTTATGAAAAAGACAGCAATTTGACCACGAGGATAGCCAGCTAGAAAAGCTAGCGATTAACAAGAAACAATTTGCACCGTATTATATTATTCATATTATCTAATTTACTTTCTGTAGTCGCAAGTTGATTCGTAAACTAATTTTTCCCAACGCGCGTCATCACGTTATAACACGATATTTTTATATGTAGCACATAAACTTTTTTCATTTTTTGCTTGTGGTTATATCTTTTCATTTATTAGTTTATCTATGGCAATCTTTATACTAACAGACCTTATTAACAGACAAAATATGCGCTAAACTGGTAGCCATTTTGAAACGATGTATATAATCAAATAATTACTTAAAGACTACTAAAAACTGCTTGAAAAGTTAAAGTGGTAAAAACTTATGAGAACTTATTATTTTGTTATTGTTATTATTATTTTATTACATATTCTTCTTTATTTTCTTGCATTTGCTTCTTCTATTCAAATAACTGTTTGTAATTATTTCCTCTCTGTGTACAGTTTTATCGTGGAAATGATTGATTAATTTATACTAAATGAAGTTAGACTTCATACTAATTTGGTATAAAGGTTGAAAAATGCCCAAAAAATGTTGTGTAATGAGTTGCAACGGTAACTACAATAGAAAAAAAATTTGATTACCAAGTAATCAAAACGAATGTGCAAGGATAGTGAAAATACTGTTGTATGTGAGCGCCATTTTCCACCAAGTTTTTTGAAGAAGTTTGAAATTTCTCAATTATGGAGTTGAAAATTTATTATTCGGATTGATTGACGCTGAGCTGATAACAATTTATTAATATTATAGTTGCTAATTCGTCCCCAAACCTGACATCAGTACTTGAGATGAGACTAAAAAATTGCAAAATACAGATTTTTAAGATTAGTTTTGTTGACATAATGGCAAATTATTGAAAGCATTCCATTAGCTTGTTTAAGTTTTTTACGGAGTGCATCTATATGAGAATTCCATGAGAGGTTCGAACCTATAAAGATACCAAGATATTTAACAATGTTTGTTAAATATTAACGTCTTTTATTAATTTTTATTTTAGTTTTATGAATGTTGTATAAAAGTTTTTGTCTTGGAGATGAAAAAATATATTAGTTTTTTCCAAGCTCAGAGAAATTAAGTTTGGATTTAGCTAATGAACTAAACCTTTTGGATCTAGGTTTATATTCTTAAACAAGGAACGATAAGACTTATTAGTATGCAAAATATTAGCATCATCAGCAAGCAAATTTACTGATAAGAAGTGGACAGAATTATTTTCATCATTAGCATAAATCAAAAACAATAGAGGACTAAGAACAGAACCCTGGGGAACGCCACAAACTATGTGTCTCTTATTTGATTTGTAACCATTAATTCTAACAAACTTCAAGATACAATATTGATCATAAGATTGATATAAGATCAAATTCAAGATACAATATTGAAAGAAATTACAAACAACTCCTCAGATTCTGTAATGTTTAGGGTAGAGCGGGAAAATTCCGACACACAGGGCAAATCCAACACCCTGCTCTGTAGTTGTATTTTGCAAATAAAGCGGTGTTGTATAGTGCTGCTACCTGACGGACAACGCTAAAACTAACGCTCAGTGAGTTTTATGCGAGTAATACTACAAATAAATCACTAGTTTTCGAAGTTTACCATGTTAAAACTGACTCATGGATGAACTGAGGTAAGATTCTAATTGTTAGTATTACTAAAAAACCACTTAGTTAGCTAGAAAATACATAATAAAACCAACATTTTGGCATAGCCGTTTTAGGATTTGAAGCTAGCAGTAGTTTGTAGGATTTGGTTTCCGTCATCTTGTTCCACCGGGGTAACACCGACACATCACCACGGGACAATGCCGACAGGTGTCGGTCGCAATACCGACACCTGTCGCATTGCTCCATTATTTATAAAATATTTAAGGTGGTCCTATACTAGAAAAAATCGAAAAAATCATTTTTTCAAAAATTACAAATTCTGAAATTTCAAACATTCTACATTTTGAATATATACAAATCATTATAATAAAATATATTTCAAATACTCTAAAATTGTAAGTTTTGTAACGAAGTTATAATTTTTCCTGAGCAACACCCCAATATATACTACTTTTATTTACTCTATGTAACAATAAAACATGTTTGGTAAAATAATTGTCTTATTAATTACTAATATTGGTATTACCCCAAAGTGGTGTCGCAATTACCCCGGTGGCTGGGGAAATACCGAAACTGTGCTTAAATTACGAAAAACATTCATGCAACATTTTTAATGTAAATAGTTTTAAAACATTACATATTTGATGCAGAAAATCAGGACAAATCTTTAGGTACTTTCACCAAAATTGTAAGTAACCTAGAAACAATTTTTTTTTTTTTTTTTTTGTTTTGTTCTTATTACAATTTTATTTGGTATAACCTCGTTTTACATAAAATAAAAAGAACACGGAAACTCGAAGAGGATGGCAAGATCCTGTCACCGAGAACCTTTTAACAATGCGATACAAAATAAATAAAAACAAAATACCGATATTTACAATACAAGATTTTTAATAAGCCAAAACCGAACATAAAATACCGTTAAAAAATGTCAAAATATGTAATAAAACTAAATATTTAAATAAAATATTCAAAAAAACTCGAAGATGTTATCAACTGTCAAAATAACTTTTTTCTGTTTATTTTTGAAAGTAAGAAAACTACAATTTTTAGAAAAATCAAAGTTTTTTAACACTATTTGGTTCCACAGAAAAGCTCCGCGATATGATATAAGAGGTCTTCCAAAATTTGTGTGCGAATAATGTTGATGAATAAGATTGTCATTTCTTAATTCATATTTGTTTCTTGGCTTTATTGCATATAAATTTTGAAAAAATATTGGGGTTAAGCAAAGAACATTAAAAACATTTAGTTGATATATATTAAGAATATTCATGTCTATTAAAAGAGGTTTTGCATGAGTATAACGATCTTTAAAATTTATTAGACGTGCTAGATGCTTCTGTTGCCGATAAAGAGTTTCTAATTGACTATTATTAGCACTACCCCACGCAATGTTAGCATAGTTTACATGACATTGGATTAGCGAGTAATAAAGTTGAATTAATGCATGTCTATTTACAAAATTTCTCGCTTTATACAACACTCCAATATTTTTTGAGATTTTTATTAAATAATGTTTCGATATGATTTTTCCATGTTAAGTTTTCATCAATGAAAATACCAAGGAAATGTATAACTTTTGATTGCTTTATTTGAACATTGTCAATATATATTTGAGGCATATCATTATTAATAATTAAATAAATTATCAAGTTAATTAATAGTTAAATAAATTATCAAGTTAATTGATAATTTATTTGTCTTAAACCAATTTGAAATTTTAACTAACTCTATGTTTATGTCATTAAAAAGTGTAACAATATCACTACTGGACAGAAAAAGGTTAGTGTCATCGGCAAACATCACTGTCTTTAAATTTGAGGCATTATGCAGATCATTAACATAGACGAGAAAAAGGAGTGGCCCCAGTATAGACCCCTGTGGAATGCCACATGTTTATCTAGCAAATTTGTAGAGGAGGATACATCAATTTGCACAAACTGTTTACGATTGCTTAAATAACTTTTTAGCAAATTTAGAAAATTTCCGCTGATTCCATAGTTTTTAAGTTTTTGAATAAGAATCTCATGATCTATCGTATCAAAAGCTTTTGATAGATCAATGAAAACGAAAAGTTGTGAGTTTTTAAACGAATCTGCAATATTTCTAGTTAAATGAAGTATTGCGTGTTCAGTGGAATTATTATTTTTAAATCCATATTGACTGGTATTTAATATTTTATTTTTAGAAAGATGATCATATATTTTATTGTAAAGAATCCTTTCAAAAACTTTTGAAAAACCAGAGAGTACAGAAATTGGACGATAATTAGTTATATTTGATAGTTCCCCTCCTTTAAAAATTGGTGAAACTTTGGCGATCTTTAGTTGGTCAGGAAATATCACCTGTTATAAAATTATAAAAATTATAATTTATATATATAAAATTTATAATTTATAATTATAAAATTTATAATTATAAAAATCAAATTTTATTAAGGTGTCAGCATTCCCCCTGTCTACCCTAAATTTAGAAATTAAAATGGTATATTAACGGTATTGAAAGCTTTTTGTAAGATGATAAAAACACCATCAACGAAATAACCAGTATCCAGTGCCTTTTTAATTTTTTCGGTTATACTTATTACAGCGTGGCAAGTAGAGTGTTTTTATTGAAACCCTAACTGAAATTCAGATTAAAATGTTTTTATTGAAATCCAAACTAAAATTCAGAAAAAAACTAAAACAAGTGAGAGTTTTGAGCTATATTTATATACTGGAATGACACAAGATAATTTCAAAATGTCAGGAAAAATTCATTTTAAGAAGGATATATTAAATAGCTTATAGAGAATATGAGAAAATTCAGAATTAAAATCAATGTTTGTCGGGATGCTGTTAGAACTTAGTGATTTTCTAGGTTTCAATTTAGATCCCAGCAGGCAAACAACGTTTAGTCAACGTTTAAGCAATTTTAAAATTTTTTAACGTCGGAACTTTTAACATTGCTTCCACGTTAACTTACCGTTGATAAAGTAACGTTCAATAATACGACGTCGTTTTATGTTTCTTAGTGATGTAGAAAGTTTAACAATACGACGTCGTTTTATGTTTCTTAGTGATGTAGAAAGTTTAACATCGAAATTTTCCACGTCACTTCCATGTTGATTAATAATTGATAAACTAACGTTGATTATTAAACGTTAAAACGACGTGTCTTTTTAAACTCTATTTAATATCGAGGCAGATTATTATAAGATTTTTTAAAAATAAAAATGGCTGATCGCCCAGCAAAATGTGCTTCATTAATTATATTTTATTTAAAAGTGTTAGTATTTAAAAATTATTCATAACTTTATATAATATTTTATTTGATAGTTGTAAATAGCTATTTACAAGTTATCTTAAGTACATTTTAGATTTATGGATAATAATTAACTAAAATTTTTATGGTTTATAATTTTATTTTTTGTTTTTTTGCAGAAATTTAATGACTAAATGCATTTCTAATATTATTAGTAATAATTATTAAAAAAAGATCAGTGTTTTGTTATGTAACATTGTTTTACACAGCTTTAATCACATATTTTTTTGTTTATAATCAGCTAAAAGTGCTGTTAAAAGAATCAATAAATTAGTAAAAAGTAAACTTGAATTAATATTGATAATTATATATATATATATATATATATATATATATATATATATATATATATATATATATATATATATATATATATATATATATATATATATATATATATATATATATATATATATATATATATATATATTAGGTACGTAACTGATTTTTTTAAATTATTCTAATGCTAGATTGTTATACATCATTAGAAAGCCCTCATTTACAGTATTTTAAAGATGAAAAAATTATAAAAATCGGACAATTTTATAAAATGTTATGACGTTTTTAGTAGCAAATTTTCGATAGATCGTCGGGGATAGTGCAAATCCGCCTAACTATCATTGGCTACTATATTTGGATATTATTAATTTTAACACAAAGTATTTATTGCTGAGATTTAAAAAAACATAAATAATACTCTTTTTACTAAAATGAACTCAAAATTAGTTAAAATAAATAATAAATAAAGTTTTAAACTTCTCCAGTAAAAAAAATGTACTGTAGATACGCGGTATTATAAAATGCAAGTTACGCGGATTTGCACTATCCCCGACAATACGGATTTCTTGATAAAACTGTGGTCAAAAAAATTTATTTTTTCACATAAATTGTTATAACTTTGCTAATTCTTATTCAAATATCTATAATTTGGTATCAAAAAATAGATGCGAAAATGGGCTAAAACTTTGAATTAGTTTCTAGGTAAAGGGCGCATTGAGAGTATTAAGAGTTTTGCTTCATACCACATACTTGAGTTCTAATTCACCACCTACACCTCATAAAAATACACTTTTTTTCTTAATAGAATGTTTTTTTTTTATAAAGACGGTAGTATTTACATACAACAAACTGTTATTTTTTATTCCACCTTACTAGCAAACATTACAGGTCTATCTTAAAGTTGGGTGTTGGGTTGTGGGTAAGGTTTAACTATTAATAACTCATTCTTTTAAAGATTTAAATCTTTACTAAAATGATTAAATCTATTATAAAAAATAAAAAAATATATTTTAATACTTTAAAAAATAGTAACTAGATGGTGTTTAATTGTCTTTATGGGCGTATGCTGTCCCCCTTCCCCGCATCAAACCCAAGAAAAACATTTGTGAGAAAAGTCCTTAAAGCTTTAATTATATCTAATTTTCTTTTGATGCTTTGCCTCAATACTTTCAACTTATAGGGCAAGCTATTGTATTTAATTTTAGTTTATATTATTTTTTTCTCTGAGCTTTGGTCAAGCTCTTTAACTTAGAAGATAAATATAATAACTGATTAAAGAGTTTATTAATATTATTATTAATATATTTAAAGAGTTTTTTAAGGTTTATTTCTTCTCTAGATATATGCTTTTTTGTTTCATGTTCTATGGATTTTACTGGCAAGAAAGGTTCACAGTTGACTAGAGGCAGTGTGAGTACTGGCAAGAAAGGTTCACAGTTGACTAGAGGCAGTGTGAGTACTGGCAAGAAAGGTTCACAGTTGACTAGAGGCAGTGTGAGTACTGGCAAGAAAGGTTCACAGTTGACTAGAGGCAGTGTGAGTACTGGCAAGAAAGGTTCACAGTAGAGATAAATTAGCAATATCTTAATTGAATGAACAGAAGATCGATGAACTACTCTAATTAAGATTTCTAATTATTTCGATTTAGAAATGGTCTCAAAGTTACTTGTAATTCGGACCGTAGAGAAAACTTTACTTTTTAGCAATATTTTTTCCTGCTTCGTACATCGTTTTTATATTAGTTTAGTTTATTAGTTTATTTTGCCGTTAAAAATATTCACAAAGTACAACAATATAAAAAGTACAATTGGCTGGAGCAAGAATCAGGACTTATATCACTTATATGGCTGGAGCAAGAATCGCGACTTATATCACGACTTATATCACTGTTATATCACCCAAAACAAATTTTTAACCACTCATTTGGCTTAAATTTATCTGGCTTTGTTACAGTATTTAGTAGTCTTATTGCAATATTCACTAATATGTTCTTTATCTGCTGATTTTCATATTATTACTGTTTACTATGAATTTTTATGTTATACTATCATGCATTTATAACTCAGCTTTATTTTAATTTTCATATTCACAATTTTCATATTTTATTATTATTCAGAGAATTTTTCTATATCCTTTATTAAATGTTTATATTTATGCCAGTAACATTTTTATGGTTTTTGTGCGACGATTTTTTTCGCAATCATATATTGTTCAATTATTGTTATGATTTTGGGTTTCGCGGGTTGCTTTTTTTCCTACACTTTTGATTGGTTATCATATTTCAAATGAGGTATCTATGACAGCGCTAGAGTTTATTTAAGGCTATTGTTGTTTTGTTGATTAAAACAATTTTTTTAATGTGGTATACTGCTTTCTGATTATCTTTGGATTGTTTATGCTAATAATACCTATTTGGTTTTATATCTTAAAATAAACTTATTAATATTTTTATGTTTCTATTAGAATTTTAATTTATTGTGTTTTCATGTTATCTTTCGGTGGTATGGTTTTTATTTATATTGTACAGTAGATCTACACTTTTTACATCATATCATTAAACAAATATTATTGTTTTACAAATTTGGATATGGTTGGGTTTTGGCTATTTGTAGTGAGTCCTTTTACTGCAGTATGGATAAGGCGTAAGTCGCGGGGCAAAGCATAAGTGGCGATGACGTTTGTCTGAGGGAATAAACTAGTTATAAATGCTGATCCGAAACGCCAGTAATAATAGACGCGACTCTGAGGAGATGTTTAAGTGAATAGTAATATTTATTTATTATATAATTAAAAAACTATATAAAACAGAATTTACAGAAAGAGATACGCATGCAAATAGGATTCTATATATCAGGAAAATGAATTGTAATGTGAACCTTTAGTTGCTTATAATTAATATCTGGACTCGAAAACTAGTTACTTTTAATGGAACACAATAGGCTGTTGGAGCCTCAGGGAAATTATATTCAGAAATGATTATATTAGACTCAGAGTTAGCTAGAAATTATTACAAAGTGTTTAGGACAGATGTCTAGTACAAAAAGCACAAGATTTAAAGCAAAATGATTTATATTATTTGAAAAAGTTGTTTTACGTACATTTCATCATAATTTAAGTGGAACTTAGTAAAGCAAGGGAAACGTGTAGAATTAAGCACAATGAACTCAATCTTAAAAGAATAACTAACAGAAGAGAGGTTGTCACTATTATGAAGGTGACGAAAGATCTGTAATATAGAACATGGAGGTCAAAAAATGCTATCTTAAGTAAAAAGAGTTTGATGAACAAAAGTTACAATGGCTGCGGGATGCGAACCCGGATCTCTGCGGCGAATTATCACGTATCTAACTGATTGAACTATACGATCTTATACTTAAATTTATATCTTATTAAAATTAAAAAAGAAGGAATTATTCCTGATAAACTTAAAGTTGGAAGGGTAATACCTATACTAAACCTAGGAAATGAGACTAGTGTCTCTAATTACACTCTCCATAAAGGAAAGAGTAATTGGGTATTAGTGAACAGTTTAGCGGGAATGCGATTTAAAGATGTAATAACGAATAAAAATGCTAATTGGTATAACTAATTGTAATTATAAAATTGTAAATAATTAATAATTAAAAATCATACTATGCAACAACAATAAAATGAGTGGTTTTATAACATTAGTAGTTACAACAGGAATGTTACTCAAAAAAAAAGTTGCATTAAAATGATCAGGAAAAATTAGGACCAATTTATCGTCAACAATAATCACAGTTTCACTACACTATTGCGCGTCTGAAACTGAACCCCCTCTCAGCAGATAAAAAGAAATTATCAAATATTTTTTTCTATCATGATGTTTTGACCATGTTTAGAATTATCCCGCGCTCGCCATTACCCAACTCTTCCCTACTATCATGTTTTTCAAAAATTATTAGAACACATCATGTTTAAAAGATTGTAATACTTTTAAGATGCAAACAATTTTCTTTATAATAAGCAACTTATGTTTAAAAAGAGACACTTTACTTATCAGACGATTCTTCATCTTGTTGATGATTTCTTTAAATAATAGTTTATAAAAATGTTTAATATTATAGTGTTACGGTTTTTTAATTTTTGAAATTTTATATTTACGCTATAGATAAAATATATATGTTTTTTTCTTGCCCCCGGCTATTTTTATTTGTATTATATTTTACGACTTGAATAAAATTATAGACATAAAAAAAAAAAAAGTCACAACGCATGCTTAACTCTGACGGATTATCAATACCATTTCCATAAAAAAGCGTGGAAAATTGTCTTTAAACACACATGGTTATACTTGTTAGAGAATAAACAAAATTTAAAGTGCATGACTATATTTATAATAATAAACAATTTACAAATTTAAAAAGATTTCAAATATATATACATATATTAAAAAGAAAATACCGAGAGCTCAAGTAAGCCAAGGAAGAACATCTATTTAAGTTTTACGAATATAAAGAAGAGTAAGGTTTTCTTAGTTCTCCTATAACTTCTTTAAATCTGCAGCATATTGCTGATGCATTTGCTGATGATGCTAAGCACTTGCAACTATTATCAAACATTTTCCATTGTTTATTTTCATCTCCTGCACAAGTACAGCATGTTGGTACAAATCCAATTAAACAACTAACAGAGTTTGAAGTAGATTCAGCACTGGTACAATCCATAACACCATTACCATCTAATCCAATTAATCCTGGCATTCCTACCACAGATAAAATTTAAAATAATCAATAGTTTAAAAATTTTAAAATATGGAAGTGTAATAATAATACTGTTTAATATATGTTATTACCAGTGTTTCCTTGAGGTCCGTTTTCACCAAACGGTCCCTGTTTTCCAGGATTTCCTTTGTCACCATTAACTCCAGGCAAACCTTTTCTTCCATTTTTTCCATCTTTACCGTTAATGCCATTGTCTCCAATTTCACCCTATTTATATTTAAAATAAGTTTTATTAATAGTTTAAAATATAAAAATTTATAACCTTAGAATCGGATTTTTTTGGGACGAAGCATAAGTTGAAGCATAGAAAGATTTTTCTTTGATGATACATTGGTTAAAAAAGGGATAACAACTTTGTATAAACACGCAAATTTACTTATATTTATGGATAAAATATTAGAAGTAAGAGTAGTAGATTTTTTGGTTTCTATTAACTTCTATAAATATCAGTAAAAGTTTAATGTGAAAACTTACGCTATGTCCTTGAGGTCCAATTGCACCAGGTTTTCCTCGTACCCCTTTTTCTCCTGGATTTCCAGATTTCCCTGGAATTCCTTTTTTTCCAGTCTGACCTTGAGATCCTGGAACACCAATTTCACCTTTTATTCCAGGATTGCCTGGATGTCCACGATCTCCAACTAACCCTAGTATAATATAAGTTGTTGTTTTTAAAATCTATACTTTATATTATTTAATACAATGATATTAAACAAATTAGTTAAAAATTGCATTTTACCTTGCTCTCCAGATGGTCCCTCTGCACCTTGTTTACCATTTTTTCCTGGTAGTCCTGGCATTCCAGATTTTCCAGGTTCACCAGTAGCACCTAAAAATGTAAATAGAAAAAAGATTATTTTTTATTATTACTTTTGCATTTTTAAATTTGTTTAAAATTTTTTTTTTAATAAAAAAACTAAAACCTTGAATTCCCATATGACCTTTTTCTCCATTGTCTCCTTTTTTACCTGGTTCACCCTTTAATCCAGTTAAACCTTTTAATCCTTTTGATCCAACATCACCGATAATACCAGGATATCCTTTATCTGACGGTTCACCTTTGGGTCCGGTAGGACCTGGCATTCCTTTTTTACCTTCATTTCCTGCTGGTCCTACACTACCTGGTTCTCCAATCTCTCCATCACTTCCAACGATTCCTTTTTCTCCACATTCTCCCTTCTTTCCTCTTTGACCTTTTGGACCAATGTCACCTTCCAAGCCAGGATAACCTTTTCTGCCGTTGGAGCCAGTTTTTCCTTGTTTCCCAACATCACCTCGATCTCCTTTGGGACCTTGATCTCCCATTGGTCCTTCAGTTCCGGTTGCTCCATCAACACCATTTTTTCCATCAATTCCAGGGGATCCGGGCAATCCATTTAACCCAGGAACACCTTTTGAACCTTTTTGCCCTTTAATCCCAGCAATACCTTTATTTCCCGGATGTCCTGTAATACCTCTTTTTCCTGGTGCTCCATTTTTACCATCTCTTCCTTTAATACCGTCTGGTCCTGGTAGTCCTACGTCGCCTTTATCACCCTGATCACCGTCTTTACCTGGTAGACCCATTAAACCTTTTGGTCCAGTTGGACCTTGATCACCTTGTGGACCAATATTTCCATTACTTCCTTTTTCTCCATTTCCCCCCATGACACCATCCAAACCATCATCGCCGTTATTTCCAGGAGATCCTTTCTCTCCTTGTGCACCCAATGTTTCATTTAACCCATTTTTTCCTTGAATACCGGGAATACCGGGATTACCAGCCATACCTTGTACACCTTGGAATCCTTTTGGTCCAACTATACCGTCAATTCCTTTTGCTCCTTTAATTCCAGGTACTCCAACTAATCCTTGTTCTCCAATTTGACCTTTGTCTCCAACTTCTCCTTCGCTTCCTTCTTTTCCGGGGTATCCAATATCCCCTGTTATTCCTTGTGTACCTTGATCACCAGGTAAGCCATCATAACCCCGTTCACCTTTTGGTCCTCTGTTTCCTTGCTTACCTTTTATTCCCATTCCTCCAGTCAAACCAGGTTCTCCTTTTAAGCCTGAATCACCTTTTTCGCCGTGTACAATTAAACAGAAACCTTCAGGACCAGGTGCACCTTTTATTCCTTTTGCTCCAGGTAAACCTATATCACCATCCGGACCTGGATATCCTTTTTCACCAGTCTGACCAGTGGGGCCTACTGCACCTGGTAATCCTTGAGGTCCTGGAAACCCTGGCAATCCGTGTAGTCCTTTTTTTCCACGATTTCCAGGAGGTCCTAAAATAAAATATATAAAAAAAAAATGTAGATAAAATAAAGTTTAAAAAAAAGTTTATGAAATAAAAACTTCTAGAAAATAATTTTAATAACTTTTTTTGCATAAAAAGAGGTTTCATGCAAAAATTATAATTTTATAATTATAATTTTTTAATCTTATAATTACATTAGACAAAAATGTTTTAAGAAGGCAAATTCTTTTTTTTTTAAATTTAACACTGTTTTTTCAAATTTAAAACTTTTTGATATTGCCAATATAGAAAATTTGTTTGAAATCAATTTAGAAACGTTTATTAACATTTAAAATAATAACATTTTATAAACGCATATAACGTTGATTGCTTAATTAAATTAACGATTATACGTAAACGGTAAATGATGTAATAAAACGATATATAGATTGGAAAAAAAATTCATTTTTAGTAAAAATCAAACTAATTTGCGCTTCTCAAGCTGTTTTCTTCAGTAAAACATTTTATTACATATCTAACTGCTATTTTGAAAAATTAACAAATTATTATTTATAAGCTTTATTATTATTTTTAAAATGATTCTCAACGTATGATCAAGACAAAAAAACAACCTGTACACTTTCTGTTTTCAACATTATCGGTGATTTCATTTTCAGGATATTTTAGTCGACCACCGACCAGGCGACCTGCAACCAGATAACCACACATAATGCAAGCTTTAATCAAAAGTTAGAATAGTACATAATAAATTATTACAAAAAAATAGTCTATATATATGTGTGTAACTTTTTTAAAATGCAATATGCGCATAAAAACAGCACAATTATGCAGTTAAATTATACATAAAATCATAAAGTGCTTGAAAATTTATTGGTTTACTTACAAAGAAAGAAAATCAAAAATATATTCTTATTCATCTTCACCACTATGCTAAAAAATTAAAACTTTGTCTGAACTTTGATTTGTCTTCGTTTGAGCCTTGTCAAAATATTGTAATATTGGTTGAATAAAATCCTGAGTTTTATAAAAATTTACCACCAATAAATAATCCACAAAAAATTAACAATTGCACAATAATGGTATTTATGCATATATTTGAGGTTAGTTATCTAAATCGTGGTTAAAGTACAATGTCCATATTTATTGTGTATTTTTGCTTGTCATGGAAACAGTTTATAAAAATCCAATAATGATAATTCAAAAGCGATAATTAACAACCTTAATAAAATATATAATTAAAATATAAAAATTAACTTTAACAAAAATGACAATTTGAAAGCGATAATTAACAACCTTAGACCTCAAAGTAATTTTCTAATTATGTATATTATACACAATTTGATTGTACAACAAAAAATTGCAATAAAGAAATAGTTGAGCTGGAATCAGCATAGTGTAAGTCAAAAAAAAAAATTGAAATATTTATGATTACAAAGCATCACTGTTTTAAATTTGAAGTGCAAGATCTATGTTTATGTAAAGAAATTGGCAGCTGAATATTTTTTTAGCTTGTAGGGTTTTCTCTACGCAAAATTTTCTCTACGCAATTTCTTTTCTCTACGCAAAATCTAACAAAACCTTAAATATTTCAAAATAAGGAAACGCTGATTTACACCATTCTGGTTTTCACCTGCTTAGTTAAAACTATCGTTCAGAACCGTAAAATATGAGTTTTGGTAAGTCTATTCTACACCAACCATTTCTATACTTATTCATTTCTTCAATATTTTTTAAAAAGCAGTAGAAAAACTATACATATTGTTTTTAAAGTATACATTTTAAAGGTTTGATTAAAAAAATACCTTTTAAAGGTTTAAATAAAAAAAAATTTAGTAAGTATAATCCCGTTAACTCGGACCCTGGATAAGTCGGACTTTTACTATTTTGGATAGTAAAATTAAATTAATCTATTTCGGATAGTATAATTAATTTAAAAAAAATTTAAACGCTTCGGTAGTCACTGCGCGAACCGCTATTTATCAGCGGTTGAGATAAAAGTAGACGAAACGGGTGTTTTAAATAATATTAAAAATACCCGCTTGAAATATGTTGATAAATACAATCGGTATAAAAAGTTTAAAAAACATGTGGAAATAGACTTAAAAATATATTGAATAATGAATAATTGCATAATAAAATAAGCCATTACCTTTTTTTTATAAAAATTTACAATTTTACAATTACATTATTTAATTTTGTTGTTGGAGGTTTTTAAATATATTGAAAAGTGCTTTTTTTTTTTAACTGTTTTATTAAAAAAGTGTTTCTCACAAAAAATTGTAAAAAAAAAAAATTGTTTTAGAAACTGAACTCTAAGTGTTTATTTAATCACAAAATGTTTAGATGAACAAAAAGTTTCATTGAACAGAATGTGTTTAGTTGAGCAGAAAATGTTTAGTTTAAAAAGAAGTTATGAAATATTGAACATTAATAAAAAAATTTGAAACAAGATCTCCATGAGTAATTACTACATTCCATTAACATTACAAAAAAAAAAAAAAAAATTTCGAGGATCATGCATGCGAAACTCGACATACATTTCGAGGATCATGCTTGCGAAACTCGGTACTTGACGAAGATATGAAAAAAAAAAAAATCTATTGATTTAAACGAACTTTAAAAAGACACATACTTAAATTTAAACTCTTTCATTTTTTAAAAAAGAATTTTATTTCATGATATACGATTGTTTGTTGTTTTTGTTTGTCTGTTTTAATTTTGTATAAAAAATACAAATAGATAAATTTAAATCTTGTAAATCTCTTTTAAATATTTAAATATATATAAATATAAATTACGTATTGTATTGAATATTTACGTTATATATATAACGTAAATATAAAAAATTACAAATCGGTAAATATACGTATTCATATTCAATAAACCCAATTTAAAATGTAACCCTTAAGTTCTTGATTGTAATTATATAAATAAATATATATAATTACAATCAAGTAGAAGACAACTTCTTATCATCAAGCCCCTTCGCGTAATAGAGAAAAATAAAATTTAATAAGTTCTAATATTATACAAGAGTGAAATTAAAAAAGTTTGAAATGTATCTAAGTAATCGTTAACTCAAAACAAAGATTTAACAGATTTTTTCTACAACTTAAAATAAATGAAATAAAACGCATATATAAAGAATAAGTATAGAAATGGTCGATGGAGAATAGACTTACGTATTTTACGGGTCTATTGACCATGACACATACTATACGGGTCATGGTAAGTCTATTCCACACCGTCCATTTTTACACTTATTCTTTATATAGCTGTTTTATTTCAATACTTTTTGTGGTAAAAAATATAAATCTCTCAAATCTTTGTTTTGAGTCCCGTTGTCAAGTACGAATTTGTAAAGGCAGCAATAAGTTCAATATTAATATATAACAGATAAAACTAAACTTTGTTTACAAAAATTTAAAGTATATTTGTAAATTGTTTAAATAATTAGTTTTCTTTATATTTAAATTTCATTATGAAAATTTTTTTATTATTAAATCTTTTACTTTCCACCACCTATCATCATCCATCCTATACCACCTACCTATTCTTTTTATCACCAACCATTCACTATCATCAACCGGTTTCATTTCATCTTCTACCATCCAGTATTATTATCACGCGTTAAATGTTTTTGTATTCTTTCCAACTTCCACTATCCGCTCTCTACAATTCATGTAAAAGATTGTCGCATTTACCTTACATACTTATATATTATAGTTCAGTCAATTGGTGCAAAATTTGTGCTATTTAGGGTAATAGCATGAAACATGGTGGACTTGTTAATAAAGTTAAAACTTTCGTTTTAAGACTCAGACACACTTTCAAAATGACCATTGATAGTCTCCATGGAAACTAGCACTTGTTAATAGCAACAAAATTTTATTTCTTCAAAATCAAATAATTTTTACACCAATCAAAAGCTCAATAAAAACGAAGCAAAAAATATAAAAACACTAAATGGAAAAAATTAACTCATAACATGTTAAACGTCTTTAGAACGTTATAAAATCAGGGGGTAAAATAAACATAAATTATTGCGTGCAAAAATAAGTTACAGTTATTTTTTATTTTAAATGACAATGCACATTTTGAACAATTTTTATTTATTTAAAATATAAAATAAGTTTATTTATTTAATATATAAAATAAGTTTATTTTATTTTTTTTTATAAAAAAATATTTTGATAAGACAATCGTCTATAATGCTTACCCCCTAAAATTATTAAAAAATTGAAAAATTCTTTAATTATACTTTTGGAATACGAATCGAGGTTTTCCTTTTTAAAATTATTGTTCTATCAATCCCATGGAGGTTTGCGTGATTTTTTTCGCTTTAACTTTTACAAAATTCTTTTGTGGACTTACGAAGTTCCATATGTACACAAAATATATATCGTATATATAAATATCGTATTCCGATTTATTTTGTATCTTAATCTTGCGGCGAGATATTCTCGCAAATCAAAGTTATGACTTCAATGGTTATTTTTCAAAAGATAGCCAAAAGGCATTTGTTCCTGCCTCTTTAAAGTCATTTGGGAATAAGAGTAATGAATGTAGTCAAGGTTTAGAACAAACAACTTTAACAACCAGTCAATTGATAATTCATAACAGTATGAAACTGTTGTGAATTATCAGTTGACTGGTTGAACACCAGAAAAACACCAGAAAAAACAAATTAAAAGAAAAATGGTCCAGTTCGAGTGTAACTGAACATTCTAAAACATGCCATGGTTAGTTTTATTGGTTGCACCCCAAAACATTATCTGTAGCCCCAGAATATTGAACTCGGAAAATCAAAGAATCACTCGAAATAAGCAAAGCTAGGGTTCGACAGGAGCTGAGAAATAGTGATGTGGTTCTCAATCGAGATGACGATGATAACGTGACGTCAAAATTCGTCAAAATCAACATAAGGCCAAGGTTCAAATAAGACAAAAATTGCGAGAAAGTCTCATAGGTATTGATTTATTTATGTACGCATAATGATTCATACGGAAACTCGCTAAAAGACACTTGTTGATAAACTTTATAAATTTGGGATATCTTAAAACCAGGTTATGGAATCAGAACAGGAATATCATTATTTAAGAACAGGAATATTATTATTCCAGCATCAAAAATCAGAGAAAATTGTATCACATCTTGAAATTTCTGCTTTAGAGTTTTCTGAAGAAAAAAAATAGCAGTGAAAGCTTCCTAATTCCAAGACAACAAAGATTCCTGACACTGAAATTCGAGCAGTTTTGAATTTTAATGAAAGACCTGAAATGGAATCAATCAAAAAACATCGTCTGTTTAAACAACTTCTTTTGGGAAATTACATCTTAAGATCTTATGCATAGTATATGTTTATATAGTTATACTTATATATAATTATATTGATTTATATTTGTCAAGCAACCATATACAATTAAAGGTAATTTCCGATAAAGTATTTAAAAATATTAAATACAAGTACATTTCATCATTTACATTAGTTACGAGATCGGAGAACCTAAAAAAGATAAAATCTTATCATCAGTAACCTTTGGTAATAAAAATTTGAAAAAATCATGTAAAGATTCTTGATTGGTGATAAGTTCGATTATGTTCTTTTTAAATTTTTGAGAGCTATTGGATTCTTAAATTTACAGCTCAGGTTTGTAAAATGGTTCCATAGCATTAGGTCACGATAGGAAATGGCACAGCTTGTAAGTT